GTTATAAATCCCTTATTATACATATATTTTTTAAGAAAATATAATTGGCATTTATTTTCATTCTCTATCTATACAGTAAATATAATTAGTATGTCATTAATTACTGAATATTACTTTATCGGTTTGATATATATATATGCAAAATTAACTCATAAAATAAAAGAATAGAAATTAATTATAGACAGGGATTTATTTGCAAGAAGAATTTGATCCTTATTGTGCATATGAAGCGATGGTCTATTGGGAAGTGTATAATTTTAGCGTACGGACAGGGAGAAACTGGAGCCTTGGCCCTGTTCATCTGAGCTGAACTTCTTTTCAGTTGTCTGATCATGATTCATGACTTGGTCCAAATCTTTGCACAGAGCGTCGAAGTCACTTCCCTTTCGAGTCTCGACTAAACTACAAAAAGTGGCCATCTCAACTCTCAACCCATTGCATGGCATGGCCCATACATGTATCATTACATTTTTTTTAAACATATATATGTCTTCCTTGCATTGCAAAAAGTAAGGGCAAGACAAAGGTGAGGCAAGATTTGATATTATTCACGTGAATAGTGGTAATCTTTTCTTTTTTTATTCCACTCCAAAGTAAGGGTAAATATTATTTACTTTACTTTATTTTCTATTTTTTATACTTAAACCATTAGTTTTGATAAACTTTTGGAATAAGATTTTCGGTTACCACGTGTCAATATTTATTATAAAATTCTCACCAAAAAATTCATATAACATTTTCGGATAAAATTTTCAAATTAAATTTTCGGATAAGATTTTCGGTTGCCACATGTCCATATTTATTATAAAATTCACATCTCACTCATCATACAATTGAAATACTTCTGGTCATCATAATCCGACACAATGGAGTACAAGGATGACTTAATCATTGGCGGAGGCGGTTCCACCGGATCACGACGTGGGGAGTATTTTTCATTCGAAGAACGTAATAGTGCAATTATTTCTGACACAAAACGCACCACTGGAACCAACTGCGAACATTGTTCAACTGAGGAGCCATATGTAATGGTTTTCCTTTTTTTTGTTTTCCCTTGAATAATCTATTAAAAAAATGAAATTGGAAATGCAAGAAATATTTTTTTTTAAATGACATTAAATTGAATAAAACGGCAATTTTTTTTTTATTACCTTGTCGCCAAGATTTTGACCTCTTCAAACGTTTGTCCACGACCCTCCGGCTTCGATGGAAGAGGCTATTTGTATTTTTGCACAAATGGAATTTTGTAGTAGAAAATTTGGTGTGAAAAGTGAAAAATATTGGAAAGAGAATAGTTTGTATGAAGATTTGGTGTGAAAAGTGAATAAAATTGTTAGGTATTTATAAGGGAAAAAATCCATAATTTTTTTTTGAATTTTTTTCAAATTTTTTTTAGCCAAAAAAAATCAAGGCCGTAGGATTTTTGGACAAAAATCGATAAGAGCTTCCGGGGAGCCCCACGTGGCATCTTTCCATTGGGGCCTGTTAGTGCTGGTGTAAGCAGTGACGCCACACTGATGTCAACAAGCAAAAATCAAATTTTTTTAAGGTAAAAAAAATTTGATTTTTGTCAGCTGACATCAATAAAATTGGGTAAGAGCCCAGTCCAGAATTGCCCTTGGGCTTGCCTGGGCTAGCTCGAACTTCATTTTGCACTGGAGTTTGAAACTGGGCCTAGGAGGGCCTGTTGCCAGGGTTTGGGTGGTACGCTGCACTTGCTCTAAATAAATACCAATGGATCATACAATACCACCAATAAATGGTGTGTACGAAATTTGACCTTTTTTATATTGAAAAAATTTCTTGTTTTGTAATGTCAATGAATGGTGTGTACGAAATGAGATTGACGATCAATAATCAAGAGTAATAGTTAAAGTTGTAGAAGAAAATGATTGGGTATTCTACAATTAGGAGTAGCAATTTTTTACGTGATAATTAATGACTCGAATTAACATGTTCATCTTAAACATTACTTGACATGAACACAAATATGACATAACACACATTTGGTGAATTAGATTGTGTAATTGGATAGGATTCATAATCCTAGTCAAATGTTTGGTGTCCTAAAAACAACATGGATTGGATTATTTCTAATCCTACTATAGCCAAATGCAGTAGGATTATGAATCCTACCAAAAGATTGGGATTAAGTTGGATTGAATTATACTAAGCCATGTAACAGCACATTTCAATTCATCCAACCCCTTAATCATGTGTAGTAACAAATACATCATCGGATTAGTGTTATCATTTTCAATCAAATGCAATCCAATTCTACCTCATAAAGGAATGAATAAAAAAAAGTTTATGTCTATGTATCAACGAATCGCACGTAGAGATATTGATAACACACATAAAGTTAATGGTATTACATAACTAATATCACGAATTATTGGGGTATGCTAAACCCTAAGGCCTCAGTTGGTGGTTAGCACAAGTATTAAGATTGGATTAGCTTATTCAAATCCCACCATAACCCTATTATGTGCATTTTTTAAAGAATAAGTTATCCTACCAGAAAGGTGTGGGATACATAATACCACTAATCCAACCCCTTTGACTTTGAGCCCAAGATTCAAGAGCGGCAACACAAACCTCAGACACTAGTGTCAATATGCAATTCAATACGATGCAATCCTATACCTTAATCCAATATAATCCTAGTCGCTAAACATGGCCTAAGAGGAGTGAGCCTGGTGTTGTCCACGCGTAACAAAGGTAGTCTAGGTATGAATTAAATATTTGGTTTAGGTGGTCAAGAAGGCAGAAGAATAAAATACTTATAAGCATATATGATATAATAATTCAGAAAAGAAAAAAAAGTCGCCCACTACGTACGATAACTCCTACCCACACACACACACACTGTAGTCATATCATCAGTACAAGAGCACACCAGAGAGAGAGAGAGAGAGAGAGAGAGAGAGTGATTTTAGTGAAAGAATGAAGTGGTATACCATGCGCTGCAGACCAATAGCGTATCGGAATCAGATCACTTTCGTCATTCTTCTTCATGTTATTATTCTCTTCTCCGTCAATTGATTCCTGTTTAATCAAATTAATCTCCTATAATTAGCACCTTATTAATGAAGGTACGTACCTACCCTTTTCCTTAAACAAATTCAATTTTTTTTTTTGGTATGAAAATTAAACAAATTCAATTAGGACAACGAATATCAAAATCTTCCAGCAAAAAGTATAATAGTTCAAAAACTTAGTTTCTATTTTCTATTTTCTTAAACTATTTGGTAAGAGAATATTTCAAAAGACGTCAAACGTTTTGATAACAAAGGCGGGCTAGATTAAGTATTGTTTATGAAGCAGCAAAGCAAAGCATATGCTACTCTCTTTTAACAAAAAATTAAGGCAGCCAATCCTCTATATCATAAATTTATAATGCAAGATTAGCACGACGACTTTCACTCTCAGAACAAATTATAAGAATGATATAATAATGAAACATTAAAAATGATGATTAAAGTAAAAGTTTAAACCTAAGTAGATCGACGGCCGAATTAGGGTTGAGAAACGTGACTAAAAAACCCTACCCATCGGAATAAAACTGATTCGCCACAAGCTTATGTCTCCAAAAGCAATTCTCATGTCGACACGCTCCTATTCGTATGAACATATTATTATATAGCATGTATGGCCTTTGGCTTTGTATATTTATCTAGCTTGATCATTTTGTCCCAAACCTTCTTGAAATACTCAACTAATGATTTTAGAGCTCCCATCTTTTGGCTATTTTCTTCAAAGCAAAGGGACACAATAATAAGCCTAGCCGCAAATCCAACTACTATAATGCATATATACCAAACTTAGAGGCCCCCCCTAAAAAAATTGATATCAAACTTAGAGTAGTAATTTTTATGTATAATTCACGTGATGCATGCGACACTAATTCATTCGCCGAGTTCATTATTTTAAAATTAATTATTCTAGGATACCGTCTAACTAGTAATTAATTACTTTTGATGACTACATATGAGACATGCCATAAGTATATTTCACTTGACAAGGGATTTGGAGGTTTAGGATATGTTTGGGAGTGCTTTTAGAAGTGCTAAAAACGTTTTTGATAGTGTTTGACAGAAGAGTTTAAAAGTGTTTATGGGTCATAGAAGCGTTTTTTGGAGAAGCATATGTCATGTGCTTCTTCACTTCCAAGTGCTTTTCAAATAAACACTTTGATTTCTTATGAAAATTTCAACATCTTTACAAGAAAAGTGTTTTTTTCTAGAAGAACGTATGAGCAGAAGTGTTTCCTTAAAAAGTAGGCCAAACGAGAAATCATATGTTCTGTTTTTTAAATACAAAAATAACAAATAGGAAAAAGGAGTATTGAATATCATTTTGGACCAGAACGTAGTACTTGAACGTTTCTTTTTTGGTGGGGACGATTAAGCCCAAAAAGAAAGAAAAAGCTACAAGCCCAAGGTCCAACCCAAAGTAGTGTAAAAGTTTACATAGAATTGGCAACGGAAGAATATAAAATGTCCATTTTACCCTGATATAACAGAGAATAGTTAGGGTATCACTGACTTTTCACATTTGATTTCTGCTCACTCGAATTTAGAATATATCATTGGGCTGTGTTTGGGTTGAACGGTTTTGTTTCTTTAGTCGCGTCTGTACTCTGTGCGTAATAACACACACGAGCCAAACACAACCCAACCTCGCTTTTCCAGTTTGACGTACCCGCTTTGTAGTTAAGAAACAACCGCCAACGAACAACGGTATCTTCTTCTTCTCCTTTGGTCCTATATTCTGCTGCTCTCTCAAGCTTACAGATTTATTTTTCAATATTTAACTACAATATTCTATTTTATAACACCACTTAAAATGAGAAATTAATTTGGCCAAAGCCACAGTTTTGCATGCATTATAATCACTTGAAGTTGTGCCTGTAAAGTGTTTGATGAAATGCCTAACTAATTCTCAGTGGACGTTGAAGACTTGAACGAGTTTATAATTTGTTCGGAAATGATACAGGAATGGATGTGGCACATTGCAATTTAGACGGCAATGCTGACGCCGTTGAATTTTGTCCACACGACTCGTACCACCATGTCTTGGCAGCTTCAACGTACACATTGCAAGAGGGTGATCGGCCGAGCCGAGCTGGGAGCATATCACTTTTCAATGTTGATGCTGATTTGGGTCGCCTTGATTTGTTTCACCGGATTGAAACGGCGGGTATCTTTGATATAAAGTGGAACCCTGTTGGAGGCTCTGTGAGTCCTCTTCTTGCTCAAGCTGATGCTGGTGGTTACTTGAGAATTCATGGTCTTGAGTGCTGTTCAGATGAAGCACGAGGTATGGTATGGCAATGCCCAAGATTGTACTTTTAGTTCAATCTCAGAGCCAAAGGTTTAACGTGCTCTTTAAGTTTTGGTAACGTAAATATGTTTTTCTTTTAACTTTTGAGTGAAGCTGAATCAGCAAAGCTATAAGTCTGCTTATGATCACTGTTCTTATCTTTTGACTGGTATTTTGAATATTTGAAGCAGGGTTTTCTTTGAGAGAGATAACTGATGAAAAAATCAGTTCTGCCATGTGCCTTTGCCTGGACTGGAACCCTTCAGCTACATCTATAACTGTGGGGCTATCGGATGGTTCGGTCTCGATAGCTTCTATAGTGGAATCCCAACTAGAGACACAAGAACTATGGAAAGCGCATGACTTTGAAGTTTGGGCAGCTTCATTTGATACTCACCAACCCCAGTTAGTATACACTGGTTCAGATGACTGCAAATTCAGTTGTTGGGATTTGCGAGACGGCCCTTCCAAGTTGGCATTTCAGAATACCAAGGTTCATACAATGGGAGTTTGCTGCATAGTCAAAACCCCCAACGACCCGAATACCGTACTTACTGGTAGCTATGATGAATACCTGAGGGTATGGGATGTAAGATCAATATCAAGACCAGTTAATGAAACCTCAATTTGCCTAGGAGGAGGAGTGTGGAGAATCAAGTACCATCCATTTGTAAGTGGTCTAGTCTTGACAGCTTGTATGCACAACGGATTTTCAGTTGTCAAGATTAACGGGGACAAAGCTGAAGTAATTGAAACATACAGTAAGCATGAGTCACTTGCATATGGAGCTGACTGGCACAGAGAGAAATCGTTTCGTGAAGGCAAAAGGAATAGCACTTTAGTTGCTACTTGCTCGTTTTATGACCGGCTTCTTCGCTTGTGGATGCCAGAAAGTGTTTTGCAGGATTCTGTGCTTTGAGAAAATTTGTTTAGTTGAGTTGTGAAGGATCCAATGGTGTCACTTTTGAGATTCGGCATTCGTACCTTGTTCGGTATGCATTAGTGAAGAAACGCATCTATCTTTTCTTTGTATTAAGTAATATAAGAAATTCAAGTTCCGGTATGTTAAGATTAAACAATGAACATGGTTACTACTTTCTGAACAAAAGCTAAGAAAGCTACCCATGAAACAGGGTTTGCTTTTGCTACGTCGATTGTTTTGAGTGGATTTTGTATTGTTTTCTTCAAGTAAGTTCTGGTCATCGTAAGATTAAACAACTAACATATTACTATTTTATAAGCTCATCGGACAGCAACCCTGAAACAGGGGCCCTGCTTTTGCTACTTTCAAAAGTCGAGACTCAAGAATGAGCCCTTGAGTTGGGTTGAATTTTCCTACCAGACGAAAATAGAAAAGTTGGAGTAGGGCTAAAGCGTAAAAGGGCTTGATACTGTGGGCTTCAATAGAATTTGGACTTAACCTAATTTCTCATCGATCGTATAAAATTCAGACCTGCTAGCTGAAGGATGTTGTTGAGCATTTGGGCCACCTTTCAATGAAATCAGCAGTCCGCTGATACGTTTTTTTTCTTTTTTTTTGGGATTCATCCAATTTTGATTCGCTCAAGTGAAGAAAGATTTTCTGTACATGTGGAGGTCCTCTTTGCAAATAGCTCTAAGAAAAATTCTTTTGTTTTGTCTCCTTTTATTTTGTCAATGTCCTATTTCGGATCTTTTATCATTTTCCTTTCCTTCACGCAGTGTATTACGAGAGAGAGAGAGAGAGAGAGAGAGAGAGGAGAGAGAGAGAGAGAGAGAGAGAGAGATAATGTTTTTGAGGTTGAGCTTCCATGACCTATTTGATATCACATAGTGAGAATCAATGTAATTGTCACTGGGGTTCACAATCTGACAATCATCTTCCCCATTTTTTGTCTTTGCTTATTTCTTCAATGCAAATGTGGGGCCTTAAAGTAAACCGCAACAAGACGCAATTACTCCCTCTTGTTGAATAAATTCCTCAATATTTTTACAATTACTGCTGGAAACTGATGGTCCCCAACCCCAAGCAAGCATTTTCCTTTGAATAATGCAGTAGACAACATAAGACATAGAATAAATGGTGTTAAATCAGTAGGCATGGTCTACAAATTATCACCAGTTTGATTTCTCACTGGTTGTAATTGAAGACAGACCGAAAGACGAACAACAATTTGGCTTATTCAAGGTAGCTTTTTCATCTTTTGAGAATCACATGATCATTTAGATACAACACATTTTATTATCTTTTGTATGCTTTCACCAACCAAATGATTGGCGGGTTTTGTGGAGCAGAACAAAAGTTTTACTTTTGCAATCTGCTGCAGAAGTAACATGCATGAGCACAAGTGCTACCAAAAAATCAATCCAAATCCTCCCCACTCCTTTTAAAATAGTATGAAACTGTTGAAACTAGAAGAAAAATGAAGGCATATTGGTCAACTATTAAGAAAACAAATGCCTGGACAGGGAAGTATATTTTACTTCAACTTAATTATGTTAGCTGCCAATAAAATATGAAGCAATAAAATTATGAAGTTCTGAGAAGCAAAACATGGGTCTGTTCTGTCATCTTTGTCTTGGAAGCTATCCATGCACGTGTAAATGTTTTTCTTCCACAAATTTTTAAACAATAAAATCTAGTTAAGTAGTGATCAGGGTCTTAATGCAACAAAAAAATATCAAACTTTTAAGCTTCGACAGTTTAACTTCATAACTGATTTGTGCTATCTAGTTTAGACTTGAGGAAAATATTAACCACTAATTTGTTTCTTAGCACTTACAAAATCATGGTTTATAGAGCTCCCACTTTAAAACTTTATGGCCGAGATTTTTGGTTATTGAGCCCTGCAGCTGCAGATCATTTATAGCCAAAAACAGCAGTGTTCCAGTCTCTGTCATATCTCTCTCTCTCTCTCTCTCTCTCTCTCTCTCTCTCTCTCTCTCTCTCTCTTATCTACCCAGGAAAGTACTTGTACTGCCATGCCTGCCAGCCTCAACTCTCTAGTGCACTATTTTTTATCTGAAACTTCATCAACCACTAAACAGCCCAACTCATCCTGCTAAGTCCTTATTCTCTCACCTCCGTTATTTTTTTCTAATCTATCTCTCTCTCAACACACAAATACATTTTCATTTTTCACTACCATATTTATGAAGTGGTGCCCTGTCCTCATTGTTCAAAACTCTTCTGCCAAACCCCACAGATGTCTCTCTTTTGCTTGTAGATAGATGTCAGACTCAGACTCACACTGAATTTAACTATTTGAGTCTTCATCTGAGATGGGTTTGCTTAATACTTCATGGGCTGTTTTGCTTCTTTGGGTTTTTCCACTATTGATTTTGAAAGCACACTCTGATGGTTCAGAGGTCTCTGTTAAGTTCTTGAAGGCTCCACATGCATTCTCTCATCTGAACTCAGCCACATTTGCATTTGAAGCTTTGGTTGATGGGAATGCGGCCTCCTGCACAAATTGTAGCTTCAGTTGTAAGGTTTGTTGAACTCTACCACATCTTGAAGCTAGTTTTTGCCTTGAATTTTGGGTGCCTTATCTCTCTCTGTTTTTTTCTGTGTCACTGACTCACCGTGGTTTTCAGTGACTAGCATATGTTTTAATGCATTTATTCAGGAAAGTGATATACAAATTTATGCAGCAACAAATAACTCACCTTTTCTTTTATCTGTTTATTTTGTACCAGAGAAGAACTCTTCTTGTTAAATTAAAAATTTCCCTTGGTATTTCCTAAGTAATTATCTTAGTATAATGCTTTATCATTTTTTTTTCCTTTATGTTTTATGTTGGAGTTCTGTTGTTTCTTATACTGAAACTGAAGACTGCGTATATATATTCCATGATGCAGCTGGATGATGGGATGGGTTCAAATTGTGTAACTAGAAAGGTTTCCTACTCAGGGTTGCAGGATGGAAATCATACCTTTGAGGTCTGCACGAATGGGCCTCAAGGAATTGGTTGTGCTTTGCATAACTGGACTGTTGGTAAAGAACCCTTCCCTTATCCTTTTTGAGTATTTATCTTTTTGAAAATGCAAAATCTAAGTAATGCTATCCTTGCTTGAAAGCTACATTTCGAAAAGGTGTCTTTCCATGAAACAAGTTTACTGGAGTGAAATTTTCGAATAAGTTTGAATGCATTGGCAGCCTGGAACTTTGTTCTAATATTAAGTTGTATTGATTTCTGCAGACACAGTACCCCCAACAGCATCTGTTACTGCCTCTAGATCTTTTACGGATGCTTTAAATGTTTCTGTTAATATTTCTTTCAGTGAATCCTGTTCCGGTGGAGGAGGCTTTGGATGTTTGTCTGCGAACACCTGCAATGTGAGTAGGTGGCAAACTGAAAATAATATGCTATTCAGTATTCTTTTGGCCAGTGATATTGTGTTGTGAACAAAAATGAAAAGTAATTTGATAGATTTCTCTATTTAATTTTTTCTTTACAGCTGCTAGTATATGGTGCTGGCCAAGTGATCCCATCTTCACTCAGTATTCTTCAGCCAAACCTCAAATATTCCCTTGTTGTGGGCTTATCACCTTCTGTTCAATATGGACGAGTGGTACTGGTAATGGATAAGAATTTCTGCACTGATATTGCTGGAAACAGATTTGTAAGAACAGAAAACTCAAGATTCTATGTACGCATTGGTGAGTGTCTGTTTTTCATTCTCTATGGTATATTCATAGAAGAGTAATTACCCAACTTTTTTTTTTCTTTCTCCAAAAAAGTTGTAGCCATTTGATCACAAATGAAATTACAGTCAATGTTCTCAACATGTACTCTTTTCATGGATTTTTCTGCAGATAGAAGAAACGTGTTTGTCAACCTGAGAATTCATATTCCTGAGAGGCTACTTCAGCTTAATGGTGAAACTAGAACAGTGCAGGCAACTAACAATTATAATAACCTAATGATTTATGTGTACTTCTCAGAACCTGTTCTGAATTCATCTGCGCAAATTTTAAATTCTCTCAACATAAGTCAGGGATCACTTCTCCCTGCTAGCGGAAATAACACTGGGAATCGCAGATTTGGCTTTGTGGTTAGTTGGTTCATAGATTTGATGTGCCTTATTACGTATATTCTAACGTCAAAGGTGTTAGGCCTATCTCTCCTAATCCTTATTTTGTGGTCATTTGATTCTGTTTCAGGTTGCAAACATGTCTAGCATTGCTATCATCACAGTGACCCTCAATTCAAACTTGATAATAAGTAGACAAGGGACTCCAGTTTCTCCAATCTCACCAGCAACTTTCCTATTTGGTACGAACTGATGTGCCTTATTACGTATGTTCTAATGGTACCTTTCTTCCCAATGTTGGAAGAGGTCTCAAGTTCGAACATTGATTTTCGGTATATATTAAAGTTTTACATTTGGGTACACATAATTGATATTTTGTTCTTTTCTCCTAATGGTAATATGGATATCAACAACTTAGATTCAAAAAGGCCTACTGTGAAGTTGAGCACAACCTCAAGTATGAGAACAAGAGAACACAATATTCCCATATTAATAGAGTTCATGAAGCCTGTATTTGGCTTCAACTCTTCTTCTTTATCACTATCTGGTGGGCACTTACAAAGGCAAGCAATTCTTCTTTTTCAACCTTCCTATAAATAGATGCCTTCATACATGCACATATGGCATGCATACATACATATGGGGTATGTGTACACTTATATTGAGAATTTTACTACTCTACAGTTTTCGCGAAATAAGTAGGAGCACATATGTTGTCGAAATAGAAGCAGTTGACGATATGGTTTCTGTCAACGTTCCTGAAAACATATCTGGGGATGTTGCTGGAAACAAAAATCTAGCTTCAAATATTCTTCGTGTGACACACTGTAAGGATTGAGTTTTTCCTTGTTAATTGTTACTAGCAATTCAACGGTACACTGTTTGAATTTAGAGGAGTTTTCTTTTTCTACTTTTTCCTAGTTATCAATGTTATCAATGATATAAGTTATGGACAATGTGTGCAGATTCAGTGCCTTTGATAGCTTCTGTCATATCTGCATTTGCTACTGCTCTTTTTGTGGTGACATCCATAGCTGCTGGGCTGCTTTCTATTTCAACTGCAAGCCTTCAATCTCTTTGGTCATTTAGCAGACCATCTTCTTTGGCATCTGATCCAGCAAGAAATCTTTTTGTACGAAACTAAACTTCTTCTGATGCTTTATCAACTTAGTAAATGGATAATTGCATGATTAAATCTTTTTCCATTATTGCAAGACTAATTATGTGCTTCTCTTCCTACTCTTATTCAGAGAATTGCTTGTCATATTCAAGTTTTTGCACTCTCTAGATGGTTGGCAGTTACACTGCCAGTTAATTATTATGAACTAGTAAGGGGTTTACGGTGGAGTATTCCCTACTTTAGTCTCCCATGGGAAACTGGGAATGGCTTCCCAGTCTCTAGTCCTTTCACCAGTTCAAGTTCCTACATTACCGAGAATCATGGTTCAGAAGTTTTCCAAAGCAAGCAACTCGAAGAAGAGATTTTCAGTAAGGATACTTCACTATATGGGTTACCACTTACTCCAACGGAATACAGAACGTTTTTTGAGGTGAGAAATATTTGATTTTCCTGTAAATAGTGATTCCTATTGGTACACAGTGGATATAATTATGACAGTTGTATTGTGCAGTTGGACAGTGAAAACATCAAACCTGAAGCTGACTATCTCCCCAATCCTTATAACTCGAACAGGTAAGCTAAATAGATCCATCACTTACGCATGTATGTTATAAAGCAGATAGGCTTTCAAGTACAAAAGAAGTAGTTAGTTTTATAAAGATTTTTTTTTCCTGTAGTAGGTGGAGGAATTTCGACAGGACCATGTTCTGGTTAGCTGTGATTTGTGGTACTTTGATTCTGTTACATGTTTTAGTCCTTTTTATCCTGAAAATGAGGAAGAAGAATTCAGAGAAGCAGAGCTCTTACGGAGCACTCGCATTCCCCAGATTTGAAATATTTCTTGTAATACTTGCATTGCCTTGTATCTATGAGGCCTCTGCTGCTCTAGTTAGAGGTACTTTTAATACTAAATTATTTCCTTCCTCCTCATGTAATTTTTGCCTTTGCCTCTATAATCTTTTGTTATTAGTTTTCCTTTCATGACTTTGGGAAAGTGAAAAATTCTTACTTTCATGGTTTCAGGAGGAATGCCATCTGGGGTTATAGTTGGCAGTCTATTGTTGGTTATCACCTCTTTTCTGCTGCTAGCCTTGCTCTTTTTCCTCTCAGTTGGCATTACATTTGGAAAGCTCCTTCAATACAAGGAAGTGCATCGAGAAGGCCTGGAATTTCACTGGTATCAAGAGCTTGTCCGGGTGACCCTCGGTCCAGGCAAAAGAGGCCAATGGACATGGAAAGGTCAACCAAACTCTGTTTATCTAATCATTTTTGGCCCTCTGTTCGAAGACCTAAGAGGCCCCCCAAAGTACATGCTCTCTCAGATTTCTGGGGGCAATCCCCAGAAGCATGGTGAAAGTATCATTGCCTCCGATGATGAAACAGAAGATGCAGAAGCACCCTTTATCCAAAAGGTGTTTGGAATACTCAGAATATACTACACACTGCTAGAGTGTTTGAAAAGGGTTGCTGTTGGGGTTATGGCTGGTGCCTACATGGACAAATGGTCTTCTAAAACTCCCTCAGTTACCTTATTGTGCATCACCTCTTTTCAGCTTTTCTTCCTTGTCCTCAAGAAGCCTTTTATCAAGAAAAAGGTTCAGCTGGTTGAGATCATCTCCATTTCCAGTGAAGTAGGTTTATTTGCAACTTGCTTGGTTCTCTTGGAGAAGGAATTTTCAGCCGACGACAAGACTATAGTTGGAATTTTCATGCTATTTCTGTTCCTAGTTGGATATGTAGCACAGATGATCAATGAATGGTATGCATTGTACAAACAAACATTGCTGCTGGACTCTGCTGAGAAATCCTTCTTAACAGGTTTGAAATTAGCTTCAATCGGATGCCTCTTGTTATTCATCCCACAGAGATTGATCAAGACCCTGGAAGAAAAGTTCCAAGTGGAAAGCAAGTTCCAAGTGACTCAAAATGCAGAAGGAGCAACAAGGGATCCTAGTTCTTCCACCGGCGGGTACCGGAGCTCCGGGAATCGGAGCTTAGCTGGCACGGATAAACCGTGGCTAAAGCAACTAAGAGAGATGGCAAAGTCCAGTTTTAGTAAAGAAGGGAGTGGAGTTACAAATGATCCTTCAAGTAGTCACACTCGTCCTAGATGGAGTGGTTTTTGGAGCGCCAAGAGGAGTGGTAGCTCTTCAACTCCAGATTCTTCTGTTGATTTCAAATCAAAACCAACAGGGTTGTACAAAGATTTAGAGGCCATTTTTGCATCGAAGTGAGACAACAGGGTTTTCCCAACAGCAAGATCCTCCAAGTCGTTTTGCAATTGCTTCTCGCGCAAGTCTCAACAGATGATGTATAGTTTGACAGAATTCACCTAACTACTAGTTATTGCTAGGATTGGATGATGATGGGTTCAAAGGCAACATGACTCTCACAATGATTGGTTGAGATACTCTTATTTGTAGTGAAAAAGATTGATATAAACAGTGAGTTTTGGAGCTTGTATTCCATGCATTTTTGGTTATGCAGCATACCAGCTTTGTATGAGGGAATTGTTAACCTTTTAAACGAGGTCTGTTTGGACATAAAGCACAATATCAGCATACAAAATATGTCACTGTATGCTCACTGGTCTAAGAAAAAAGAAAAATTGTAACCCAAAAACAATTGGAAAAAAGTTATCATAGAAAATAAAAATTGAATAGGATGATTTCCATTGTGTGTTTATAGCTGTGCGGAAATCAGGGAAAAAAATTATTATCCCAGTATATATTTAAAGCGTATAGCCGCGCGGCTCTACTATTTTAAAAAAAAAATAAAAAAAGGAACCCAGTATCGCCGGGCGGTTATACTCTTTATATATATATATATATATTATATTTACAATGTATAGCCGGCCGGCTGTACTATTTATTTAAGCCGAACAATAAAGGATCCCATTAGAGTATAGCCGACCGGCTATACTATTTATTAAAAAATTAAACAGGAACCCAGTATCGCCGCGCGGCTATACTATTTAGTTAAGCTGTGCGAAAATCAGGGAGTATAGCCGTCCGGCTATACTATTTAGTTAAAAACATTTGAGAGGGGAACCTAGTATCGCCGCTCGGCTACTCTTTACATATTTACAAAGTTTAGCCGCGCGGCTGTACGATTTATTTAATGAAAAGGGACCCGCCTAGCGACTAGGTGGCCTTTTGTTTCACGAGTATAGCCGCCTGGCTATACGTTTAATTAAAAAAATTAAAACCCGTAGTATAGTCGTTCGGCCATATGATTTATTAAAAAATTAAGAAAAACCCATTATAGCCGGGCGGCTGCACTATAAATCCGCCGCTTTTTTATTTTATTTTTACAGCTGATGTGAGGAAGCGTGTATTCCCAAGTGAAAAACAACACAGTCGATCCGAAAACAAAAAAACGACACAGTCGACAGCACCATCCAAAGCCCAATTGCACCTCTCTCTCTCTCTCTCTCTCTGTCATTTCTCTTCAATCTTGTCGTGGAAGCTGCCGACCAAGCTTGTGCCTTTTTATTGGGCTGCATCTGCATGCAGAATCTGATTCCAACACCTGTTCTCTTTGCATCTTTCTGTCTTCTTCTAATTTCTTGACACCAAACAGCCAGGCTCAACACCTTTGTCTCTATCTCTCTCTCTGTGAGTCTGATCTTACATCTTCACACATTTGTCGCCATATATAACATAAGACGTGTAAAAGAGCAAATGGGTTCTCTGTTAACCAAGAGTTTCAGCAAGGAACAGCTTGAAATGGCGGTCAGCAAGGTCAAGACCATCGTTAACTCCAACCCAGTTGTCGTCTTCAGGTTTTTCTATTGCTCTTTTTAAAAGAAACTAATTTGTTAACCAATTTGCAGATTCATGTGTTTCATTCTCATATAAATCGTGGAACTAAATGGGTTCCAGCACCAATTAGTTTTGATGCCCAATCCAATTTACAAATTCATTAGCTTTACTGTATTATCTTGTTCTTGATGTTTTATTTTTTTATTTTTTGTGGGCAGTAAGACTTACTGTGGTTATTGCAAGAGGGTAAAGCAGCTGCTCACTCAGCTTGGAGCAACCTACAAGGTCATTGAACTGGATGAGGGAAGTAAGTCCTCTCTCTCTCTCTCTCTCTCTCTCTCAACCCTTTTTTTTTATCAATTTTTGCTTTTGATAGAATTGACTTTCCAATTTCATTACTGAGGTCTCAACAATTACCATATTCGACTTCTTTGGACTTTCTTGATTGCTTAGTCTTAGAAGATTTCAAGACTTAAAATTCAATGAGAAAGAAAGTATTTTCTATGAGTTGCTGACTGTTAGTGTTATAAGTCATATGTTTTCTTCAATTTGCTTACAGTTCATGGCCCGTTTAAAAAAATAAAAAATAAAATTAGAACCCAAGATGGGCAAAGGCTACCTAATGTCATAAGAATAAGAAGATGGGTTTTCTATGTTAGTTACTTCTGAATTTCTAATCCTATATTGTTGGGGAATTCATATATTTTATTTTTGAAGCTGATGGAGATGAAACTCAAGCAGCTCTAGCAGAGTGGACTGGACAAAGGACTGTGCCTAATGTCTTTATTGGGGGAAAACACATTGGTGGTTGTGACTGTAAGTGCATATGCTATATTGTTTATATCATGTTCAGTGGAATTTGATATCAACAAAAGACCCTCAAATCATTTCAACTTAGTTGATTTTCAGTTTACTTATTTATTCTCTTTTTGGATCGTGCAGCTGTTTTAGAGAAGCACCAGGCAGGTCACCTTCTGCCCCTTCTCAGTGAGGCTGGTGCCATTGCCTCTAAGTAAAAAACTTCATCCCCTGATGAAGAGGTGAAACTATACATACCCATATTCCTACATCAAGGCTGAAGGAACAAACTACATGAAAAATGTAATAATAGTTAATGAAAATAATGTTCCTACTTGTATCATGTGCTTGGAAAAAAGTAATGTTTTTCTATCAAGTTTCAGTTGCAAATTTGATTTGTTGTTTATGGACTTCAAATTATGGGTACACAATTGAGATTGGCTATGCCATCCTCGGTGGAAACTCAAGTTGTCTTCTCTTGTATTTGTGGTACCCCAATATTTAGTGTCCAATTTACACTTGAGGAGCTGAAGTTCTTCTAAGTTCTGCATGCTTTGCTTACCTGATAGGGATGCTTGTGATATATATTTTTTGGATTAATTACATTTTAGTCCCTGGAGGTTTAGGGTTAGTTCGAGATTTCAATTTCATCAATTTCATACCTTACATTTCAAAATATGACCAATTTACATTAGGAGTTGCATTAACCATCAGGTCTGACGTTAAATGTTGACATGGTAGTTGTGGGACCTACCACAAAACCAATTTCTCTCTCTTCCTTGTGTCTCTCTTCCCCTTTGACACAGTTACTATTTGCATAGTGACTATTCGTCTTCCTTGCTACACATAACGCCGCCTTCTGGCCACCTTCGATTACATGACCGGTAAGAAAATGACCGGCTAATTGGGGGAGCAAGTTTTGTTCTCGAGCCTCGGCCAAAAACTGAGCGAAAATGGGTAAATCACGGCCAAAACAGTCGGCCATTTTGGGGGTTTTAATTCGAACTCTCAATCCTGAAATTGATCTAAACTACATATACAAGCAATAATAACACGTTGAGGGGATGAAAAACCGTACCTTAATTAACGTCAACGGTCACATGAGTCGCCGGAATTGGCATTGGAAGGCGAAACCCTCATTCTACCTTCCCAACCTCTCGTTGGCATCATGAGGAAATGGAGAAGTCGAGCCTTGGCCGAGACATGGTTGCCGAAAGTAACCGGTCATTTTTCGATCAATCCCATAGTCGGAGGTGGTTGGACAGCGGCGTTGTGTCACTAGGAAGACGAACAGTTATTGTTTGCACAATGATTGTGTCGAAGGAGAAGAAAGAGACGCGGGGAAGATAGATAAATACGTTTTGTGGTGGGTCCTACAATTGTCACGTTTGACATGAAGGTCAATGTAACGGTCGATGTAAATTGGTCATATTTTGAAATGTCAGGTATGAAATTGAAATTTTAGGGCCCATTTCGATACTAACCCTAAACTTTCAGGGACTAAAATGTAGTTAATCCATATTTTTTGGATACAAAGTGAGGTAGAATCGAGCCTAAGACTTCGGCTTGAGATATATGTTAGGTGGATTCAGTGGTAAATCCACTTCAATTTTTTTTCGCGAGTTTGGCTTATTTGGTATAGGGCCTAAAGTTATTGACGAGTTGGATATTTGTAGTGGGCTAGAGTAGCAGAGTTTCAGTTGTACAAGGAGGTGAAGCCTCCTAATGAGGGCCCAAAGTTCGAACATCTGTCTAGAGTCGGCCTAACATGCGAAGACTAAACGTGAGCACTGACCATTCTTCTCTAAGTAAGAACAAGAAATATGTGAATTTTTGCATTTTCATCCAGTGAGTTTGCTTGGTTTCATGTTACTTGCAGGAAAAACGCAAGAAAATTCTTGCATGTCATTATCTGGCAAACCACTAAAAATATGATGTTTCCTAAGTAAAAAAGCTCAGATTACATTGAAGAATATATCCAAAATGTGCTCTCTCTAGCTTCTTACAGTTGCAGAAATCTATACACTCAAAAGTCTATACTTCAAGTTACACTTCACAACTCAAAAATCTATACTTAAAATTACACTTCACAATTCAAGAACTCAAAATAGAATCACATAGCACTTGCACTTCGTAAAGAAAGACTGAAAAAGTTAAAGAGGGAGATTGTACAACAATTCAATTTAAAAATGGAAGAGGAAAGAAAATAAGAGATGGGTAATTCCCATGACTTCAAAATAAGGTATTTACCACCATCATGGCTTCTTTTCTCATTTTGAGGTTTAGAATGCATGCTGTTGTTGCATTTGTGCCACAGAGTCCACTTTCCAGTACTCACCAGGCCTCTTCTTCTCATTACCAAGACCCCATTTCTCCTCTTCTCTCTTGTATTCAGCCCCACCACCATCCAAGTTTGAGATAGAAACTTTTCTCCATTTGCACCACATCCTTAACATGATATAAAGCATCACCAAGCAAATTACTGTGGATGTCAACACAATGGCCACTGTAATGCCAGTTACTGCAGCATCAGAAAGGTGCTTTTTCCTCTGCCCTTGGGATTCCAGGCATTTTGCTAATGGTGGGCCGCAAAGCTTGTCATTTCTCAAGAAGGAGCTTAGTGGGAATCCTGAAAAAGTTGATGGAATTTGGCCCTGGAGATGATTATTTGACAGGTTTAGCATGTGCAGGCTGGTCAGCTTTCCAAGTGAAACAGGAACTTCTCCTTGGAGTTGATTGGAAGATAGGTTCAACCTCTCCAACTTTATTAGATTGCCAAGAGATGATGGAATTTCACCAGAGAATAAGTTTTTGCTGAGATCCAGGATGACTTGTAACTCAGTGAGCTCTCCTAGCTCAAATGGTATCAAACCTGTCAAGAAGTTCTCTGAGAGCCTCAGTTCATAGAGCTTCTTGCACTGCCTGATCGTTGACGGAATAGAACCCAAAAAATTATTTCTCTGAAGATTAAGAACATTAAGAGATGTGAGATTTCCTATCTCCTCTGGGATCATGTTGGAGAGACTGTTGCCATGCAGAGAAAGCTTCAGTAAGTTTGAACAGTTACCAAGTTCTGCAGGTACTGTTCCACGGAAGTTGTTTGACGAGAAGTCTAGCTCTCCTAGTTCTTGTAAGCTTCCTAACCATGGAGGTATTGTTCCTCTGAATTGGTTATCACTTAGCAAAAGGTGCTCAACTCTCTTACATGAAGACAATTGAGGTGGCACTTCTCCTGTGAGATTGTTGTAGGATAAGTCAAGAAAGTTGAGCTGTGTGAGTTGGCCAAACTCGGAAGGGATGGTTCCAGTGAGGTGATTGTGTGCAAGGCGGAGACGGCTTAAATTTCTACACATGGATAGTCTAGAAGGAATGGAACCTGAAAAGCTATTGTTTGTTAAGTCTACAGCAGTAAGAGAATTCGAACCGGAGAGAGGAAAGATGGTTCCACTGAACCGATTGTGAGAAAAGTTTATGATCTTGAGGTTTTTTAGAAGAAAAAGTGATGAGGGAAGAGGGCCTTCAAAGGAGTTGTTGTAAAGGGTGATGGTGCTTAGTTGTGAAATGAATCTGAATGTGGGTGGCAATGTTCCAGTGAGCTTGTTATCAGCCAAGGCCAATCGCTGAAGACTTCTGCAGTAACCTAAGCTTGGTGGAATAGGACCTGACAAGCCATTCTGTCTCAGTTGGAGTAAAACTAGATTCTTAAGATTTCCAATTGTTGCAGGGATGGGCCCTGTGAAATGGTTCCCAAAGAAATCAATTCCTGTTAAGTCTGAGCAGTTGGTTAGCTCTCTTGGTATGGATCCTGACATCTGGTTATCATACAGGTAAATGGTTTTCAACCTTTGTAGCTTTCCAATCTCCACTGGAATTCCACCTGTGATCATGTTGCCAAACAGATACAGATTCTCCAAGTAACTCATGTTTCCAATGTCAGGAGGTAGAGTTCCAGTAAAGCTGTTGTTATTGAGGACAAGATCAGTGAGATTCTCTAGGTTGTCAAGGGCAGCTGGTAGCTCTCCTCCAAAGCTGTTATCTGAAAGGTCCAACTGCTGGAGTGAGTAACAGCTCAGTACTTCTAAAGGAAATCTTCCAGTGAGTTTGTTTCGAGCCAGAAGAAGTTGTCGAAGGTTTGAATTTCTGAGACAGAAGTTGCTTGGAATGCTACCTGTCAAGGCATTATCAGACAAAACCAGAGCTTCAAGATTCTTCAGTTGGGTGCTGAGAAGGTATATGCTTCCTGAGAGGTTGTTTTGTGACAAGTCAAGCATCTCAAGCTGAACCAACTGGTTAAGCTCCGAAGGAATATCTCCGTTCAATCTGTTCCCTAGAAAATTCAAGTACTTCAAATTGGTGAGTTGACTTAACACAACAGGAATTGATCCAGAAAGGCTGTTGTTGGCCAGGTTCAGAATTTGCAGTAACTTAAGCGATCCTATCGAAGAAGGGATATCTCCTTCAAGCATGTTGTTTGATGCTGCAAAGTTCTGAAGCTCTTCACAGCCATGAATCTCTTCTGGTATGAGGCCACTGAGGCTATTGTTCTGCAAATCAAGAGATATCAGGTGCTTCAAATTGCCAATATAAACTGGAATGCTTCCATTTAATTGGCAATAGGCAAGACCCAACACTCTCAACTCAGTCAAGTTGCCAATGCTTGGTGGAATTGCACCCGATAACAAGTTATCTCCTATCCTAAGAACTTGCAAGTTCTTCAAAAGGCCTACTTCTGGAGGAATCTCACCAGAGAGAAAGTTCGAATAGAGGAGAAATGTTACAAGATTTTGAAGCTGTCGCAACTCAGGAGGAAGTGGACCAGTGAGGGAATTCAAAGACAAATCGAGTGTTTCGATTGAAGTGAGTTGCCAAAGCTCACGTGGGATAGAACCAGATAGTCCTGATCCAGATAGGTTCAGACCAACAATATGCATCTGATCATCTGAACATGAAAGGCCATTCCAGCTGCATATATGAGCTCTTGGAGACCAGTTGTCAAGAACTCCTGCTGGATCAACCAGTTCTGATTTGATTCTCAGAAGTGAGATGGAATCTCTCAAGCTATCTCCAAGAGAAACAGCAAGAATAGCATGAAGTATTGCAAAGAACAGCATGAAATGAGACATTTCAATGCTATGACTAAGGTTAAGTTCAGACCAAATTATCAGATACTGATTCTGAAGATTTAGTATTGCTTCTCAGAAATGCCATGCAGAAAGAAAGGCAAGGCAAGAAAGAGTGAGGCAAGTAGCAAGAAGAGATGGAATAAGAATTCAAGGAGGAGATTTGATTAAGAGGTAAGATAAGTTTAAAACTATGGTGGGATAATGGATGCTTGGAGTTTAAATAGTCTTCTGAAGTAGGCCTACCTAATCAGTTTCCAAAGAAGGTTGATAATAACAATCCATCAAAAGTAATTAAGCTTTAACCACAAGTCTTCCTTTTAAGGCAGCCATCTCTTTTTACCTTTTTTCTCAGTTTTGCTAAAAGATATGATGCTTCTCTCCTTTTTCTCTTCTCAAGGTGTGTATGGAATGCTGAAACATGTTTTAGAATCTTGTGGGGGTGGGGAAGTGCATGAAGATAAGGATGGTGCAAGCATGGCTAAAACGAAAACAGAGGAAAAGCATTCCACTTGCACCCAATAGTAAATTGAAGAAGTGGACCGCACTCTAGGCTATTTGAAGTTAAATTTAGAGTGGCTTTCTTCAATATAAATAAACCATCCATATCACAGTTATTCCAAAAAAATTGAGTCACATTTGACTTTATCATAGATTTAGTCAATTTAACTTCTAGGATTGTTAGTCCACTAGATAGGTATAAATCCATTATTCTGTTGAAACTATAGAATGCAGCAGAGGGCATGAAAAAGTTGATAGATTCATGCATCATCTGCTGTCAGCTTGCATCAAAGTTTTCATGTTTAAGTTTGAAGATTTTTTCTTTCTTTTTTCTTTGATTCAACAGAGAATGGAAAGCAAGAACCGAAAACTCTTATCGTGAATGTGCGATGAAGTGTTCTCTATCACTAAGTGACTATGTATGTAAAGAGTGTATTGCATTAACATTAGTATCTACCTTCCAGCCCTTGACAATTTTCTCATAATTAGAAGTTTTTTAATCTGTATTAATGAGTCGAAAGTTCAACCATGAGATATTTTATAATTTAACCTAAACCCACCAAATACCAAATTAAATACAGGAAGAAAACATGAGAACCAAAACAACCCCATTTGATTGATCAATTTGACACAAGTGACCACTTAATCAATCATGTTGAAACATGTAATAGGGCCAAAGACCATGTGAGGTTTGGTGTAGTAAGATCAAAAAATGCTGCGTTGGCCCAAATTAGGTCTAATAAGATGGAGAGAGAATATTGTCTCAGTATATATATTGAAGGGATTCTCATGCCCTAGTGAACCCAAAAAGAAGAAGACAAATAAGGTTGCTTCAAACTTGAGTTTCTAAATCTTTGATTGAGAAGTCTAATTGCTTACCTATCTATCAGCAATAGCTTTATATCCTTCGCTTCACCTTTGCTTTGTTTCTCAGGATCAGGAAGAGGCAACCAATATGGATGAAAAATTGACAATGGTTTGGCCCACTAAAATGCTTGACTAAAAAAAGAAAATATTATGGTCACCCAAATGTTTTTTGTTTTGTTTTTTTAAACAAATATTTTTCTGAATACAAGCGATAGTCTAAACTATCAAGGGAGGGGGATTTCTCACACACACACACACTACTAAGGAGTCATGGGGATTCAAAATTGAGATCACTAGTTTGCAAGTCAATGACATTTTCCATTATGCTAGACCTTGTTAGTTTATTTTTTTCCACTGTGCTAGACCTCGTTAGCTTATTTTCAGTAATATTTAGAGAAAAGAATTAGAACTTGCCCACGTTTTAAAGTGGAGGGATGATTATCAATAAGACTAAGTGTTTGTACATTCGACATGTCGTGGTACTAGGTCAGCAACATATTCATGGCTGCAAATCTACATGTTCAAGATATGCTCATATATTTTCCTTTCCATATTGCAGCTGAATTTGATTTGTCAAACACCCACTTAATATTCTTTTTGGAGTTTTCCCTCTGACAGTATAAAGTACATGCCGCCCTTAAGTCTAATCTGAGTTTAAATCTTTGATCAGAAATAAGAGAAAGAATGTTTCACCAAACCAGAAGACGATTGAGTTTATATTATCAGGTGACTGAGAGACAAAAGAGAAGGTACATCATTGAAGTGAATTATAAAAACACATTTGACTAAGAAAAAGTTGGCCAAAAGGTGCACTTTCTGGCAAAAGGCATTTTAAATATATTAATACGAAAACATAACATATATCAAATTATCAATAATAAATCCATGATTAGAATTTTTGATGTCCTATGATACTAATGTGTCGCTCATCTTCTGCATAAAATAGTATTTCCTGTGAAGAAAACAAGCATATATTTCCAAACAAGATATGAAAATGCTGATGTTCCTTCTATTTTAATGAAATACCTTTACTGGTCTGGTCAAGGATTATCTGTCCAAACCAGTTATTGTTCAGTAGTTTATATCAGTTAGGGTTGACTTTATTATCTTAATCTTTCATTGATATCTTCGGGGAAATGTTGACTTTGGCCTGCTTTTTGTGTATGATTTTGAAAAGATTTGGTGACCAACTCTATTTGTGCAGGCACTTCAAAGACGGACCACTAAAGAATGCCAGAAAGGAAGTTGTTATTGTAATTCTAAAAGAAATCATCATACATTCTTCTGACATAAACGCGCTTTTAAGAGCGCATAATGACTTCGATTAATTCTCTAAAGAATATCAGAGGAACGAGGCTATATTGTTGAGTGCAAGAAGGTAAAACTTGGATTGCTGGGATTTCATTAGATGCGACAAATAAAATTCCATTTGCATCAGTTTAGGAAAGAGAGGGACTTTGCTGGTGGGGACTGCAATGCAGTGGATGATAATGGGTGGATGAGACGAAATTTTTGTTGAGAGATCATATAGATCGAACAGTGATGTGAAAAAATTCAATTGTGAATAAACCCCTTCTAAGGGATCATATAAGCTTGCAACAGAGATCTCTATCAAATTCTAAACCAATATGATTTAACGAAGAGAAATTGATTCAAGACCCTAGGACTTGGTACAATCCAGGCTCTATGTACAACAAAAATGGAGTGCAAGGAATCAAATGGAAATATAAGTACCAAAATTCTCACCAACTTCGCTCTCCCTTGCAGTTTGCTTTACAAAATCGTGCAACTACCCTCTAACTTGCTTAAGACTAATGCTTCCATGCCCATTTGCTGCCAAACTCCCACCAAAGCAGAACAAAACTATTAAAAAAAGAATTTGGACCCAAGAAGACCAATTGTATCGTTTCTGAAATACGTGATCCTAATATGATATTCATGCTTCACTGTGCAGCGACGGTGGTAGAAGAGAAGAACCTCATTAGGAAACTTGAGAGAGACCAAATGCAGATGACACCAAGACATTGAAGGACATTCAAAAGTGTTCCCAATGAGCTGTTTATTGCCAAATTGTGTGAGGTTGTCTCAGCTCCTCTGACTGTAAATGACAGAGCAGTCACCAGTTGTGCTGCTCTATTCAGCTGATGCAATCTATAAACCTGTCAAGCACAGTGAACATAAACTGTTTGATTCACAGGCCCGCACATGCACACAACCATAAATCAAATATAGGAGGCAGTTCATATCATTTCATAGTTTTCAAACACAGTTTAAGGTGAGTGGTTGATGCCCATATACATATAACCTATGTAGACAGGCTGGAATTTTAAGAACTATCACCCGATAGGATCAAATTTTAATTTTCACAAATTCCATAACCAAAAACTGAAAGAATAGGATTGGCCTTACTTGAAAGATGACTGGGATAACAGGCCATGAAGGTGACTTCTTATATCTTGCACACTGCTCAAATGCAAATTGGACCACTATACCAACCAGATATGGAGCAAGAGTAGCAGAAGCTGCAGGGCCAGTCCATGGCCAGACATAACCCATAGTCACCATAGGAATTATAAGACTAAGCACCAAAGCAGCAACAGATGAGATCCGCTGTCCTAATTGAGGGGTGAGGGTTCTGTTACTGGGGACAATCAATTCTGGTTCAGTTGGCCTCCTTAAATGGTCAATCAGAAGAAGGAACACCGCAACACCACTGTAGAAGATAGCTTCCGTAAAGAACAAGATGAGGAAATCTGAGAAAGAAAAGATTATGGTTTAGACAAGAGAAAAAGGTGTATTTCCTAAGCAAACAGAACCAATGAGTTTTTAAAGATAAATGGAATGTATTTTTAAACATGAAATCAGCCAAATGTTTTAGTACTCTTATAGTCTTTAAGAACAGGCCAACTTTTTTCAAATTTCCAACACTCATTTAGTTCCCAAGAGTTGAACCATCAACAAAACTGCTTTTCCAATCCACTGAACCACATCTCATGTTACTTCTTAGAACTTCATGTCATTATTCAATATTTGCATTCATGTTCCCATTGATTATTGCCCTTCCCTTATAGACATTTCTCATCCTTTAGTTATGCTTTCATTGTCCATCTATATCATATCAATGTTAAGATTTTCTAATCTACTTGCTAGAAGTAACACAAATATGAGGAACAGGAAAGTTGTCTTGTTATCTTGAGATTTTGTCTCCTACCATATATCTATATACACCTTTGCCAATAACAATTTAGTGTCACTTGCCCATCATTCAATTGAGTTAGCCACATAAATTTTCATCATGATGAATTCACACTAAAATAGACTCCATTGAAAACCCCCGGGATAGTCTTACCCAAAATCAATAATAATGCAAGATCAGGGCAACTTTCCTGTTCCTCCAATTCTATGCAGATACTGTGATTATAATTGTACTTCAAAACATGTGGCAACAAATATCTGGACTTGAAAAACATAAAATCACCGCAAAAATATGCTTCCTTACCTGTCAACAAAGAATCCTCAAATACAGTTGATAGGATTTTTCGCAGATAAAGTGAGGGGAAAATGAAAGACGCAAGAAGAACAGCTGGACCAATGAACCATAAGAGGTTGTTTTGGTTCCTTTCTGGATTATTTGTAGAAACTTCTTCTTCTCTTTTATATGGGCGGTTATAGAATGAGATCAAACCCGGTTTTCCATCAGTCCCATCAAAATGGAAGTATGAACCACTAGCTGGAAATATATCTTCGGAATCAGGACGATGGTTCTCTTGCTCTGCAGCATCTGGTTTTATCTCACTATATTGTGACTGGTCTTCAGAAACAGCGAAGAGAACACTCCGACTCTTTGGGATTCTGTTGATTGACTTCTGTACTCGCTGTATGAATATGCATGACTTACCTACTCAAAGAAGCAGAAGAAATAGATAAAGCATATTTAGAGCAGTACGAACCAATCTCACACTTTTCAAAGTAATGTAATTACTGTTCATAAATGGTTTGGCAATAAAGTTAATAAAAGTCAAATTAGAAGAAGTATCTACAATCAAATAAAGTCCATAGGTTCCCTTCTACAATTATACTATGATTCGAACAGCATGCTCAGTACCTCATGGAAAAATCAAACTTTATGCTGACTATATTAATCCGTAAAGCAGAATTTCAAGATTTTACTAATTATAGAACAAATATGAAAGCTACCTTTAGCATATCTTAGCTGCTGAGCATCATGTTTTTGGCTGCAGTACGGTGGTCGTGATAAGCTCAACTGTACATGAAAGGAAATAAATTATATAAACCGAAGACTTGATAGAACTCTTCTACAAGGAAGCTGTCTTTTGATACTTTTCATATTAGAGTTGCATGAGACAACTAGAAGTGAAATTTATAAAATAAAAATAATAATGATAAAAAAATCCTCAAGAGTAAAGAATTTGGGTATAGTTTATTTCATCTTAGAAAAATGACTCTAATCAGTCAATAATGGAAAAATCCACTGCACAGGGTGCATTTCTAATCTACATGACTCTGCATGACTCCTAGAAGCTTAAGCTCAGTAGTGGTGACATAAGTAAAAAATATGCTTCATGCGTGCAAGATAACCCAATAAAGGCTATGAACTAATACTCGGATATGACATAATGCCGCAATATCCTTCTAGCTTCTCACAAAGTCATGCCTTAAGCGAAAATTTTGAATACTAAGAAGAATAGTGCAACCGAAATCTGTCCCAAAATAGAATCTTTAGCATCAAAATAAATTCTTTCTTTCATCCAATAGCTTAAATAACTTATATCAGCACACTACGAGGGAATCTTAGTAATGATATCAAATTTTGTCTCTTTTTCTTTTTTTGTTGAAACTGATGTTTGTAGAATCAATCTCACGTAGCAATTCCAAACCTTTTATCTATCAGAAGCAACCCCAGCACACATTCAAACAACATATGAAACATTAAAAAATAATAAAAATTTGGGAATACGAAGAACATTTTCTGAGTAACCGAACGGGACTATCACGCACCTGGGAACCTCTTCTCGTTTGGCAATGGGAAACAAGAGAAGTTGCCAAACAGGAAAACGAAGAACCAAATTTAAGCGCCATATCCGAAAGCAATAGCAAGCCCAGACTGTCGGAGACTCAACCACGGCATGCTGCGGGATTCTAACGCAAACCCATTTGATTCGACGAATATCTAAGGGTACCCATGAAGCAAATTTTCCGATAAAAAGAAGGAAAGGGTGAGAAAGTGGAGGAATTCGGAGATACTGAGGAGTGGGCTCTTGGAGTTATTCTAGGAACAATGAAGCGAAAGAGAGCGGCTTCTTTTGTGTCTATTCGGAGGGGTGAAGCGGGTGACTATATTTTGGACAAAATCCTATTCCTACGTTGTCTTTTTATTTAAGCCGATATTTTGTTTTTATTTCCTTATTCTGTTTCTCATGTGATATCTCTCTATCTTCTTTTATTTTCTTTTTCTTTTCATTTCTATTTTTTCACAATCTTTGTTCATGTTGTTACAATCTCTTTAATGTTATCAACCATGGTCTCAAACAACAGCTAGGCAAAAAGTAAATAATAAGTAAAACAACTTCCAAACCTGATAAGTGACTTGCTACAAGAGTTGAAAATACTTTCTCATTATGGAACCTCAAAAAACATTCGCGGCAGCTGAATACAGTACATAAACAAAATAATAGGGACCTCATCCAAAAATAAGAATGCTGCCTCATAAAAATTACAGAAACCGGACAAATCCGCTTGTCATGATCCTCGACTAGCTAGATATCAAGAAGAAACCCGATCTAAAATGGGGTTGGCTGGCTCCATGAAAGAAACTCAAACTTTTAAACCATCTCTGGAGCAACTCAAATTTCAGCCACTACTCTCGCAGAAGAGATTCTTCGGATACATCTAGATGAGATTAGCCCTCTTTAAGAATCTGATTGTTCTGCAATAATATGGCCATATTGATTCTATAAAATCAAGGTACTTCTCCACTATTAACTCTTGCAATCCTTTCAGCTTTCTTCTGGATAGTTTCTTGTAGTCTAAACTCTTAATGTTCAGTACAGGTTGCCAGAAACGAGCCCATATGTCCTCTTTAAGCTTCCCTTGTGCAATGTATCTATAGGCCACCATGTAGTAAGTGGGTAAGTTCTTGATTACTTGAACAGTCTGCTTGAAGCTGAAAACATAGAGTGCACACAACCACTGAAACATCTTGATGTAGAGAGCTACAATGAGGGGTCCCAAAACCCACAAAGGAGTCAACTCCTTTGAAACTTCAGCACCATAAGTAATATTAACTGCCAGGTACCCGGGGATGCTGCAGATCAACAATAATAATGTGCAGAGTTATCAAGCTGTAACTTTTGCAATTTAATATAATGGTGTAGGATAAAAGAAAAACAAATCCAAGAGATGTTTCACATTTAACTGCATAAAATGTTTGGAAATTATTGAACAGACAAATCCAGCAGTTGGAATACACACACACAACCTATGGACAAATTCATGCAAATAGAAGAATCATGGATGTGAAAAGAAAAAAAATCCTCACAGGCCAGACAATGAGAGAGAGAGAGAGAGAGAGGAGAGGAGAGGAGAGAGAGAGAGAGAGAGCATTATACTTACAATATAAGTAAGGGTATCTTTATTGTAGCATTTAGACCCAGAAAATTGGACCAAACCATCCTTAGAATCCCATCTCTTTCCTTGTTTTGAGTATCGTGCTCAGTTTCTGATATCTCCTTTGGAGGCGGTTCCTCCTCCAAAATCCCATCTACTACTTCACATGATGATTGTGTTCGGAGCATTCTAAGCCATTTCTTAAATAATTTATGAATGACAGGGGAAGAAGCAATGCTCTCATTTGCTTCAGAGGCATAGGAAAGAGGCATATCATTTTCCTGAGGAGATCCCGTTAGGGTATCCTCATTCTCTTTTAGTTTGACAGAATTCTTGGGAAGCTTTGATCCACTTGTTCTACCTCCAGATTTATCATTCTGGGCACTTCCCTTGAAGGCTGAAACTCTCAAAGGTTTGACTTTTGATCCCCGCATGAGAGAAGCCCCTACACTGTGAAACAAGTTCTGAATTTAAATGATCAAGTTATAGAAAAGTGTATTTGGTTTGGGTGTGTGCATATGTGACTCTCAAGAGCACGTGTGGAGGAGTTTCAAGAACATGCAAAGTGGCAGTCACAAAGTTTAGCTGATAGAAGACTACAGAAAAATAAATGGAACAAAGATAACAGACTTAAGAAGGAAAAATTCCCACCTTAAACAAATATTGCGCTTTAACATAATGCAATTGTCTGTCCTCCCAACCATGTGATGTGTTGTTACATACTGCTTCAACTTCAGCCCTTTGCTCCATGACAATGGTCTAGAGGGATATGTCACATAAGAACCCTGAAATGCAAGAAGCAAAAACAATATATTTCAAATTTATTTTAAAGGTCAAACAAACCAAGAAGAAGAAACTTCAACAAAAAGCCATGATTTAAATATGAAAATGGGTATTTCAGTAATCTCACAACAATAATTAGTAATTTAAAAGATTTTACTGGTGATGATTTGACAAAAACAAACACAATCCTGAAAACACCATTAAGTACTCAAGATTCAAGAGATAGGTGCGGTAAAACAGAAAACCAGCCCTCCAAAGAAACTTCTATATCATACGTTAAACAGATACCACGTAAGATTCCAGTCAAGGTACTCGCAAATTACCTGCATTTGATGGGTCACCAATGCCATCGTCTCTGCCTCAACAACCAAATCATTTACTCAGCAGGGCCTAATTTGATAAACAACCAAAAATGAGCACTAACTCTTGCAGCGAGGCAAACAGAAGGAACAATTTAACAGCTACAAATAAAACACACAGATACAAGCCCAACTTCAGCATGTAACCATAAGTTGTTGATAATCAAAATTAAAAACATCAATTCCTCTCGAGCAAACCTACTACAAGAAGTTTTCAAATAGAAGAAAGCAATTGTTCAAATGAAGGAAGAAACAAGATTAAGCATTAGCTTGAAAACTCCTTTTCCTTAATCTTTGCCTCGAAATTCCTCAGCTAACACCAAACATAGGACTCCCAAACGTGCTAAAGTACCAAAATTTAAGCTAAATTTCACCAAAACAACACCGAATACAAAGCTTAGAGTTTGTAACCTTCCCATTTTCCTCCATTACATAGGAAACCAAACAGCCTAATAATCACAGGCTCACAAAGCAAACCCTAACTAAAACAACGAAATTAAATATACAGAATTGAAAGTGAGAATGAAAGAGAAGTACGAGCAAATTCAAACTAACCTGTCATGAGCTTCCCTTAACGAAAATTAGTAATTTCGGGATAAATATAACGAGGGCTTTATCTTTATCCCTCCCAATTAGATTTCTATAAATAGTGTGGATAGAAGAGAGAGAGATAGACAAAGAATAAAGAGGAAGAAGGTCTTCGACTCTTGTAGGTGAATTTAGGGCTTTTATAGGGATTTTGTTTTTTAATTTTTTCACAGCGGGATGTGGATGATAATGAAGCACGAAAAACCAGAGGGTAAGGTAAAGCCGGAGAGGCAGTCAGGGAGGTAGTTGATAAAATTAAAAGGGAAACGACACCGTTGCCCAGATGTATAATTCGAGCAGCTAACTTCGGACTGGGTCGCTTTGTTTGGACTTGGGCCGTTTAGACTTCCGGAAATCTAGCTTCATGAAATAATATTCCCTTATTAAGATGTGTCAGAGACAGTCGCTCACCACTATCAACCACCAATCGCTCTTTGAAGACCATCCTCAACATTTCTCTTCTCTAATCAGATAATCAATTTTGTAAAATTTTCAGATAGAATTTCACTTATTAATTAATTTTAATTAACTTTTTAATAACATAACATATTAAAGGCTTGTTTAGGAGTGATTCTACCTAGTAATCACTTCTTCATATGATCACATTAGTTTTAAGTGATTTTATGGACAAAAACGCTTAAAATCACTTAAAATGATTATATGGAGACACCCGTGGAAGGTGCTTCTCCTTATAAGTGATTTTGGCTCTCCTAGAATCACTCCTAAACGTGCCCTAAAATATCAACTACAATTGAATAGTGTGCCAAAAATCAATTGCCAAAGTTCTCTTCTACAGGGGAAGAATCAATCCACTATTGCAACTTAGTTGGAGCGTCTCTAAAGCTTGTGCATTGTCCATCAACAAATGATTATATTCGAAGTGGTAGGAAGCATCTTTACTTTCTGACATTGCGTGATGTGTTTAAGTAAATGGCTGACCCTTTATGTTGTGTTCGGAAGTCACATTACAATTTCCGAATTTCGAAAGTGGAGATGCATTATATTGTGTGGAAAGAAACCAGCGAGAAACATTCAAAATTCAAATGCGATGTTTCCGAGAGCAACAATTTATAAGAAAAACAAGAAAGGAAAGGAGCCCCTGATATATTCACATTATATAATTTTATTTTTGGCCAATAAACAACTGTGAAGATGGATCCTTACTCTACTTGTCAACAAACAAGGTACAACCGTACAAGCCACAATGAAAACCAGTCAACAAGATATCGAGACTAGTTTGATTGAGAATCATAAACTTCCTCTAATTTCATTCCTTCCTGCCGGCTCCATATTTAGAGCCAAGGAATTATGGGTCACTAAATAGTAAATACAAAGGCCGGAAGAAAGATGTTGAAAGGGTTCCTTAGGAAACAAAGGGTGACCAAATCACAATGTTTCACATCATATTTGAAATGAAAAAAAAACCATAAATACGCCACATTCGACTACCTCCAAGCAGCTAACTATTTAGCACCATCAACTTTGCCGGAAGCCCTGCTCAGGGGGCAGAAGCCATCAGTTGTCCATTAACAAATATGAACAGTTGCAAACCACCAGCCCTACTGCTAGAATGCCCAAAAACAGCAGGATCTGCCACTGCTAACAGTGCAAGAGTGGGAAAGAGTGGGTTTCAATCAATAAAAACCTCATCTTCAGAACTTTTCATTTTTCTAGCTACTACTCCATATCTGCATCTACTCGCACAGCACCACTTTGTCGTCCATGGAAGTTTCCCCCACCACGTCGCGGGTGACTTTGGCCTCTTTCCTTGACCCTTCCACCTGCACTATGAGAACCATCTCTAGGTCCCTCGGAGTTGTCAAATTTGGTATTGTTGTTGTACGGCCCAATTGGCTGGTACTCAAAATGCGAACTGTGCCTCGGTCTCTCCCGGTTTGCAGGGGGGTTGTGTTGCCTACTATCATGCCCTGAATAATTCCAATCCCCACGAGATTCTTGACCTCTGCCAAAACGGTTGTTTTGGTTTCCATTTTTGCGGAACCCTGTGTGATAATGCTGCTCTTGTCTAGCATCCATACCAGTGGGAGCCAGTTCAACTGGCCTAACCGGACCCAGGTTTGGAGAGTGGGGGCGTCCCCTGATGGCTTTCCTCTCTCTCTTATTCAGTCCTTCCTCTGCATTGTTTCTCTCAGAAATCAATTGATCGTGTCGCTGCTGGGCCACATATTCAGTAGTGTCCTTGTCAGGTGTTGGCTGACGTGGCACCCCACCTCGGGGACTGGTTTCCTTTTTGATAGTCTGACCAACTTCTACACCAACATTTTGACCACCATTGGCCCTGTTTCCCCGTTGATTATTGGCTGAAAGTGCCTGAGATTTGGGTTGCCAATGAGACATTGCACGTTCGCCAACAGCTCGATTCTCTTTGGAAGCAGCAGGTAGGTCCTGACCCATTTCAGAGACTGATGATTGATTGTTAATTTTGTCAGCAACCCCTCTGCTAGTTTTCTTTTGATCAAGATCATGATGATTTCCCATGGCTTTGTGTCCCTTGAATGGATGTTGTTTTCCTCTTCCTTTTACTCCCTGGTCCTTTGCAATTGATACAGAAACCGGTGCAACAACATCAGGCTCATTGGGCATGTTCCATCCATCAGAATAACCATCAGAACTCTTTGGTTGCTCTACCACTGAGCCAACATCAGGCTTCTGGGGTTGATGATGCTGGATTGATTTTTTATCACTCTGACTAACATTTGAAGTATATGGTCCATCTTGCAAACCTTGAGTGGTGGTTGATTCTGTTGACCCCCGTTGCCGCCATGATCCATGTGCCTTTCCGTGCTTAGTCTGTCTACTACTCCCATTCCAGGAATCTATGGGAATCCCCACTTTTCCAACAGTTATGGTAGTAGGTTGAGAACTTTCGGCACCTTGAGAAGCAGAATCTGCTCTCTCAATGGTCTCATTTACTGCAGTCTGATTGATTAAAGAAGTCACTGGTGGTTGAGTGCTTCCTTGATGCGCCATCTCTTTAGCTACAGGTTTTGGAACATATCTCTCCATTTCTGCCCTCTTATTTTTTGAGTTACTTTGCACTTTATTGTCCGTCTTTACAGCATTAACAGCCTCAACTTCATTTTTGGGGATAGCTTCATCATTTACATCAGCTTTGTTCTGTGACCGCACAGGTGCCCAGACGACAGCATCAGTGCTGTGAAACTTTTCAGAGTGCTTAATAGCTTGTACATTCCTCGACCCACGCCGAGGATGCTGAGATTTCCACTGGCTATTTACTCTACCTTGAGATTCATCATTTGATAGAGATGAGTGTTGCTCTGAAGACTGGTGTGCATCTCTAGGAATGGCCTGCAAATGAACTGAGTTAGGATCTGCCTCCAACTCAGATAACTTTGGCCTTCCACTCTCAAAAGTGGCATTTGCAATGTTTGTTTCTTTTGATACAGATGATGGTAGAGCAGCCACTGTTGATGTATTCTCTGTTTTGTGCTTATTCTTGCCAATTCGGTTATTTTTCTTTCTTGGATAAGAAGATGACTCAAGTATGGCACTGGAATTCGCAGTCAGGCTTGACTCACTACTCAAGGCTGTTTCACTTCCTATAACTCCAAGAGATGTGGAAACATTAACCACTGTATCTGTCTGACCCTCAGCTGTACTCATGGAAGTAAACTTTCCAGTAGACTTCTTTTCTAACTGATTGTTCTGCCTCTGTTTAGGGGCCTGCTTCTGCCTAGAGATATTGACGTCATGAGCCTGGGGGGCATTGTTGTGATGAACAGCATTAGCAACAATCGCAGATTGATCATGCATCTCAACAGGTTCCTTGTAGGCACTCTTTGGTGTATCTAAAAGTAGCCCACTAGATGGAACAGTCGACTTTTCAACTTTTCCACTGCTGCTCTCATTAATCTCTGCAACAGCATTCAGGTTAGAACCCGAAGCTGACTTTCTACCAGGCACTAATGGTTCACCAGAAGTTTGAGATTCTTCTTGCTTATTCTGGATGGCACCACTTGAGTGACTTTCAAACTTCTCATTTGAACCTTCCACCACTGGAGTATATTTGTTCAACTCTTCCAATTTTGCATGAGACTTGGCCATCTGCCCTCTTGTCCGTTCCTCTTCTTCCTCAGACTTCTCATTCAATTTTGCAAACTTCTCATTTGAACCCTCCACCACTTGAGTACGTCTGTTTAACTCTTCCAATTTTGCAAGAGCCTTGGCCATCTGCCTTCTTGTCCGTTCCTCTTCTTCCTCCTGTAACTGCTTGGTACGTTGTTGCTTGGCAAGCTCCCTCATTTTAGCACGCTGGTGAAGAAAAATGATTTTGGCAAACTTCTAAAGCATAAAATCAAACAAGAATATGAATAAAATTTATATTACCTGTGCCTCAGAATCGTTTGGATCTAACAATGGTGTCGCAGATTCCTCCTCATACCTGCCTTGTGGATAAGATCCAGACTTTTCAGTAGCTTCCATTGTAGCCAGGTGGTCCTGCAGATGAACATTAGGAGTTTCCAAATGTGCACTTGATACCACGGTGGTTGGTTCTGAGACCAAGGATTTCTTCCACCACCCTTCACCTTCTTGATTATTCAACCTTCCTCTACCACGATGATCTGATCTACCATGCATGCCTTGATTAGATCGCCTGTAGATCAGAAAATTAGCATATTCCAACCATTTAAAATAATATATATATATATATTGGCAGTGGAAACCAAAAAATTACCAACCAACCTGGAGATGGAAATTCCACTGCCTGCTGTTACTTGGTTTTTATCTCCAGCAGAAAAGCCCACTTCATGAGAGGGATTTACTATTTCAGTGGCATGAGATCTTTCAGGATTTACAAAGCTACTACCACGTTCATTTACTGAATGGTTAGCTTTAGCATTGACTTGGAATCTATTTTTCTGCTCCTCCCTACTGGAAACAGATGCAGTATCATTTCGTCCATCTGAAACTCGTGCCTTTGCATTTAATCCCTCTATTTTTTGAATCAGACTGGAGTCTTTCGCAGCAGCCAGTAGTGGTTGTCCTACCTCCGGTGTGCCAGAGGCTTCAGTTCCCAATTTCTTCACTGAAATGACATCATCTGCCTTTATATTTCCCAAACTTTCAGGAGCTACTTTCATAGGAACAGAACAAGCTCCTCGGTTGTCAAAATTCTGTGAGGCAGTTTCTTCACCAAGCGCTTTCCTTTGATCCCTCTCTCCCCCCTTTCTGTGATCTGATATCCAATCATTCTCTGATGCCAACGTTCTTGGTTGGTCCTCCCTCTCAAGACATGATGCATGAGATAAGACAGCACCCTCATTCCTTTGTTCCTCATTTCTTCTATCCCAACTGTCATGCTGCTTCAGAAGAACTTTGTAAGGTCCACGAGACTCATGCGGATGACCAGATTCTAATTGCTCCGACATCACTGCCTGGTTAGTAGGGCCATATCCACTGGGTCTGCCATGAGAATTGCCAGGCTCATGAGCACTTTGGCTAGGGTACCTATTATAAACAGGGGGGCCAGCTGCCATTCCCACAAACGGCACATCACGTTCATTTGGATTGCAGTAGCCCATTGGAGAAGGGTAATAGCCCTCATAGGGTACTGGACCAGGGTAAAAGCCAGGTCGAATTGGCATACCAGGGCGAATATAAGCATCTTGCATATGAGCTCTGTACATATCTCCATTTTTAGGATGGTGTCCTCTTGGTCCTGCTCCAGGTGGAGGAACAGGCTGTGCGTTGGCTAGAGCAGCAGGTGGAATCTGTGGAGGATAATATGGAAATGGCTCCATTGGAAAGCCACCAGGACGGACTGGAGTTCCGTAGGGAGTAGCCCCTGGAGGTCCTCTATACCAAACACCACCTTGTGGATTAGTTACTGGACCACCATGCCATCCATCATAATGTTGGGGAGGGACGTTAGCACTAGGGTAAGGATGGGGATTACCCTGCCACTTCTCCATACCAGGTCTAACTCCATCTCCGCTGTATGAGGGATTTTCTCTTTTCCATGAATTAGCAGTTCCACTCTTGACATTTGCATTTGCAGAAACATCACCTGAATATGAAAAACAAGCACATACTTACATACATGAAAGAATGAGAAACCAAAGCCATTAACCAATGTAAGGAATGAGGTTGCAACATTCTCATAAACACACAAGAATTAAGCACATGTGCACGAACCAACTAGAGAAGTCCCAGTTGTCTCTTTTGCCACTCTGTCACCAGAAGATGACCCAGGACGACAGTAAGAACTGTGATCTGTCGTAAATGATTGATCAAGCAATCAGTAAGCTGAAATGGAGCATCAAATTTTCTACAAAAAGATACTTGCCCCATAAGGGAAAAAAAATTCGCACCAGCATGGATACTTATTAATGCCATCACATCCTTTAAAACAGTTGCTTGAAAGTATAAGGAAACACATACTCCAGAACTCAAGAAAATGTGCAGAATCTTCTTTTTCACTTTTTCTTGTTTTTCTTTTTTGTTTTGGCATAAAGGAAATGCCTTTTAGCACTTGAAACAATAAAAATTGGCAGCCACTCTGGATGTGCTGCTCCAAGTTTGAAAAAACAAACAAATACCAGGACGCAAACATGGTATTTTCAAAGATTGATGCTAGGGGTAAAAAATTTATCAATATTTCTTAAGAAATGGCATGGCAGTTTACATGGCAGTCCCACATCAATTGATGAAAATCCACTGGCACTGCCAAGAACATGGTCAGTGAGGTAGTGGAATGCGTGTGGCATGCCATCTCAACCACCACGTGAATTTTTAAAAAGTATTTGTAAAAAATCTAAGGAGAAATAACGTCTTCCAATATTAAATTATACAGTAAATGGGTAAAGGCACAAAACCTTGTGACTTGGCATTATTTCCAGGATTATCTTTTTCTGAACCAAGTGTCGGAAAATCTCCAGAAGAAAGCGAAAACCCATCATTCTTTGCTGACAAGACTCCCTGCATGTGTAACAGTGAATAACCAAGATAGATCTTCAGATAAGTACCGGACAGACTGCAACAAAGAAAACATAGCAGAGGTGTTGTTCAACTACCTTGGGCTCTCCTGGGATTGGAAAGGGTCAAACTTATGGGGTGAATTAATTTTGTAATTAATTCTGAGTGTTATGCTGTTCTTTAATTTAAATTACTATTTGTTGATTAAATAATCAATTAACGAATGATTTTCTGTCACTTTAATGTTTAAGCTTTAAAGTCATACATAATATTGGTGAGAATGGTATTCACCAAATATGTCATGAGTTTTATCATTTGTGCATAATTCTATGGAGTTTATTAGTACCACTATCGACTCTTCAGAGCCAACAGGGAGAGACCCTCCGAAGCTCGCAGACCCGGGGGTTGCTGAAAGGCGTAATTGATGCATTGTTGACTGGTTTACCATTTTCTGGTGGTTCATTCAGAATTTTATTTTTAAACGACTTTCCGTTTCTTTTTACCAACATTTCTATAGGTATTGATATTTCTGTTGAAATTTCCATTGATCCTTCAACATTTTCATACCTGAGCAAATGTGTGATTCAATTATAAAGATGTCAATTGATCCATCTAACCCTAAATGAGAGATTCCCATGGTGAAGCCTCTCTTTGTATCGACTCGGTTGGAATCTTTATTAACAAAGTAATTATTGGTAGAACACATTCAAACACTAAGCCTATGACAGAAAGATCATACCAACTTTTCAGCGGTCCCAGGAGCACTCCATGCCACTGGATGTTCAGAGTGTTCAGCAAATCTTGACAACTGTGAACTACCAGGTCTTGTCTCTGCACTGCGAGGACGCAATGAGGTCAGTGATGTTTGATTTGATGTCAATGCCCCAGAAGCCGATGACGGCCTAGAATTCGGACCCCATGCATTAGAAGAAGGTTCATGCGCTTTCTCACTACCAGCAGTAGATGGTCGAGTGCCACTTCCAGATGAAAGATGGCCACTGAGATGGCTCGGTGAAGTGCCACCGTCAGCTTTTGGAGACAGTGATGGGGAACCCCATGCATTTGATGCAGAAGATGATCTACTGCCCCAACCGAGGGTACCCCTGCAAGTATTAAATTAAAAAACACCTAAGTGTTATTCTCCGGTGATAAACTAGCAGCATTGAAATATTATACACTGATCCCAATAGAAATTAAATTGAGAGAGAGAGAGAGAGAGAGAGAGAGAGATTACTCACTTGGGAACAATTTCCACATTTGGGTCCCTACCATGATTTTCTAACCTTAAACAGCCAAGTAAGGTAAGGAATTTTAGGTGACAAACAAAGGAGAACAGTAAATTGACTTAAGGATAATTCAGCAGGAAGCAAATACCTCTGACTGGGCAAGTTTACAGGTTTTGGAACTTTCCCTAAAACAGTCATGGGACCTCTTCTGGAAGAAGAAGCCAACCTGCAACAGCATCAACAGAATTAGATTACAACCTAAAGATGTTGATATCTATGTGATTGTCTGTCTCTGTATGCAATATTTCGATCTCAATTTTGAACAAATAATAATAATAATACTTGTTGTGGAAGTGTAATTTTGCTTACTTTAAATCTTCCCCACCAACACAATTTACATATAATTAGTTTTTTCCTAGGACATACGTCCCAATGTTTTCTTATATTGTCTATTCCAAAAGAAAGAAAAAACAAACAATAATCCCCATTTTCTATGAAACATTGTGAATGTGGCCAGATTAACATAAGAAGTCGCAATAATATTCATACCTCCTGTCCCCCAACAACATACTGGACGTCATGTTTCAATCGTTGCCACAAGGTCATTCAAGCAAATTTACCAAAGCCTGGAAAAATAGGAGAATTTAAACTTCCACAAGTGTGATGATGCAGTCAATAAACCAATAAACCACAGTTTTAACAAGGTTATCAAATGACATAGTACACAACAAACTTTTCATATCCATGAAAACAAGATTCATGTAACATGCTTGTACAAAAAAATTATTTTATTTGCGGCGCCACAGTGTCAGACTCCTGATTATTGATTACAACTACAAATCAAAATGTTATCACATAGCTATTGCAGGTGAATGTGTACCATCCAGGTTTTAGCATTCCTCCATGCTATTTATTTCCTATCATACAAAATACTAAAAATTGTCTCATAGAACCTTTTCCTTGGATTTTATGGGTGTAGACCAACAGAGCACCAAGACACACTTTTTAACTTCATCCTTCTTCAATCAATCTCCCCTTATGCATAATCAAGCCCATGTCACAAAATTAGTTACTCTCACAAGCTCTCTTTCCCCTTTTTATGATAAAGAACTACTAAGCTTGAGCATTTTTATAGCAATGATCGCTAAACGAAAGAGTCTAAACTTATCCCAGTTCTCAATCCCAGAAGAACTACGACACTTTTAAAGGGAAAAAAAGGGTTTTCGGCAACCAAAAAAAAAAGCATCCCTGATTTCAGAAACCTATGCACTGTTTCGTCCTTTGATAGGACAAACAATAGGCCAATACTATATTCAAAATCTATACAACAATAATAATATACGAAAAATCCTTCATTTCCAAATGAAACCCATCATAAGCATTGACCTACAAAATTGCATAACTACATGTATGTATATAACACCAAAGCACAAAATGCCACCAAAAGAATACGTTCGCTTGGTTGCCAATAAAGCATATGAGAATATGAACATCCCAGAACATATTTAACGCATAAATGACAGTTGCAAAAGCAAATTCTTATTTATTTCTTCCTCGTGCAGTCTTTTTATATATATTATTTTCCTTCTATTTATCGGGAAACAAACAGGCTAAATTAGTATATCAATTCCGCAAAAATTAAAACGATATTAACTTGCCTGGTATAGGAATAGGTTTTAAGGGGTTCGTGGAAACCCTAGGGAAGTTGATATGGGTTTTGAAAGATATAGAAGGAGAGAATAAACGATTGAAACGCGCCGTATAGGGCTTGGGGAGATCGAGAGGGCGGTTCAGAGAAACAGAGATCTTTGTGAGTTGAAAACGAAGATTTTGAGTGTGATTGGTTTCAGATCAGCGAAGAAGAAAATAGGGAGACACAGAAGAGAAAGAGTTCGAGAGGGGGCCCGAGGAGGAGTTCGAGAGGATGTACGAGTTGCAATCCGATATATTAATTCTGGAACCTCTCGCAAAATTAAATTTGAATTTGGGTTTTTTCAGAATTTTTGGATTGTTAAGCGAAAAAAACAAAACAAAAAAGAGTTTGGGAATTTTTGGGAATGTGGGTTTGCTTTGAAATCGAACTCCCAATCCAAATTGGGCTATAAATTCTTGTTCAGTTTGTGTTTTATCCTTTGGGTTTAAAAGGACACTGTATTTTCTGTTGTATCAGGTGATGCTATGGGTAATAATGTAATTTCCATATTTATGTTAGTGAGATTTAGGTGTAATATCCTTATTTGGTTTTCGTTGTAAGTTTTTTTTTTTTTTTTTTTTTTTTTTTTTTGTTTTTTTTTTTCTTACGTCTTTGTTGGGCCAACTTTGTAGTTAAGGGAATCATAAACTTCTCAGATTTCTCAGTTGCATCCAAAGGCCTAAAACTAGTTGAGCACAAAGAGTTTAATGTTTTACTTTTTTTATATAAATTTCTTCCAACGTTGAGAAAGAGAAGTATGAAGCATTTAACGTGAAAAACTGACCAATTAACCTAATTTTATTTGCATGTGCATGATTAGTTAGATTTTAGTTCTTATTATCATAAATTGTGTTATAATCTGACATGATTAAGATTTTGGGGTTTTTTTTCGGTCGAAGGATTTTGGGGTTCGACTCATGATATCCATAATAAAACAATAGTCAACAACCAAAGCTAGTGCCATTCCATGAACAATATATATTTTGTACTTTTTTTTGGTATATATATATATATGTATGTATATTGTACTTTAAATCTTACCATAAATAAGTTGCTACATTTGACCCTAATTTATTTATTGTTCAAGTTGCCAAACTTTCCCTCCTTTAAAACTCCTAATTTCCAATAAATAAATAAAAACGTGGTGGATGATTTTATGAAATATGATGTAGTTTACATTCATGTAATAGTATGTTAACTTACTTGAACTCGGGAAAAGTCATGAATTAGATATTTGAAGAACACAAAAGAATGAGTATGAGATCAACTACTTATGTGTACAAGCACAGTGGTGGACCCAATGCATGTCCTCGGTATGTGCCCCTCCTCAAATATTGTTGTATGGATATTTAGTTATAGTAATATTATACAAATATTATGAAATTCCTCTTAAATTCTTAAATTTCCCCATTTTTCTTTGTTTTCTATAATTTCTTTTGAATAGCATATATTTTATTATTATGAATGAATGTTAGATTATTTATACAAAAAGTAATAATAGAGAAAATGAAAAGAGTTTTAATTTTAAATGTGGCTCCTCTCACTTAAATTTCCGACTCTACCACTGCGGAGCATATGAAATACTAGCGTACACATATATTTTGTAATTTTAATTATTAAATCACAATTTAAATGGAGCCCTGACCCAATACCCAAGGGCCATCCATAGCTCTCACATGGGCCCAAACCCGCGTAAGTGGTTTGTACACTTGTACGTTGTGCACAGTACCTCTTCTTCAGATTCATGTAGATGTAGTTCTTCTGAGGCAGCTGAGTAGCGATGTGAAGCTTCTTCACGCATTTTCAGTCGAACCAGGTAAGCTCGCTTTTCTTTTATTTCCTTCACGTGTATCTCTTATTGGGTGGTTGGTTTGATTCAGATCTCTTTGAATCATTTCCACATAATTTGCCTTTTCCTTCACGTCTCGTATTTGCCTTTTGAAATTGGCCTACTTTTCAATTCCAGATACAGACATAATGATTTCCATATTAGAGAGTTCATTTTAGTTTGTGATGTCTATTTTAAGCTACCCTTTTGTACTTTTTTTTTTCTGGAGCACAAGGCAATGGCTTTGGGCTAAGCATGGCAGCTGGGTTGCATTCCTATGCCCTGTTTGGTATATAAGATTTTGTAACGAAAGGAAAATACAAATAAAATGGAAAAAAAAAAGGATCAATCGTTAATTAGATTGTTATTAGCCATTATGAGTCATAATTGTACAAGTACTATAATAGCATATGGAGAATGGATTTTTACTGGATACATAAAAATAGTAATAACTTGTTGGCAAGATGAACCTTTCCTTATATCAGTATATATTTGTGCATTCAATGTTGATCCTGTATGTTTTCCAGCTATATATGCTAGTAACTGCTTTTTCATAATGAGGTTTTACTACTAAAATCGAAAGCATGGTATTTTCTGCAGCTTTGGCTATTTCTCATTTGTTTTCATCAACTTAAGATCAGGAACTTTCCATCAATTAGGCCAATTCGGTTGAATGGTTTCTGATTTCAGTTCAAATATGACCAAATTGAGTTATTGCTTGACCTTACCGTGGGGAGGGACTGCTAGCAATAAGGAAGTAAGAAGTTGATGGGTGGGTCTAAGGCTATTATTTGCTTTGGTATCACCTAATTGACTTGTAACATAACATTTAATATATTTCAGGAGTGGGTTTTGAATTTTGAGGGAACTTTGAAGGTGAAGAGGGAGTGAAAGAGCTGTTATTAGAGTTGGAATTTATTCATGTTAGTAATGCATCTATGGAACCCAAATCTCCTTACAAAATTTAAGCTCTCAATCACTGGATTTGCTCAATACAAGCAGGCGTTGAGAACGAGTTTTGTGGTTACAGTTATAATACTCTTATTATTTGGTGCCTATTTTGCGTTTATACCTGGGAAAGGCCATAGTGTATCTAAAGGACCATATTATACAGTGGTTGTTGATTGTGGAAGCACGGGGACCCGAGTAAATGTGTACAAGTGGCTGGCAAAGGATGTAAGTAGTAAGGAATTGCCGATTTTGTTGTATTCTTATCCCGACAATTCAACTGATGGAATGCTTTGGAAAAGTTGTAAGTATCACTGTCTGCAAACTGAGCCTGGTTTGGATAAATCTGTCGGAAACTTATCAGGAGTAAGAGCATCTTTGGAACCATTAATTACATTGGCAGAACATAAGGTTCCTTCTGAAAAACGCAGAGACACTCCCATTTTTGTTCTAGCTACTGCTGGACTAAGGAGATTGGCAATGGAGGATGCTAGGCGGGTATTGAATGACATAGAAGTTGTTGTAAAAGAACATACATTTTTGTATAAAAAGAGTTGGATACGGGTATTGAGTGGCCAAGAAGAAGCTTATTATGGTTGGGTGGCTCTAAATTATAAAATGGGTAGCTTTGGGAATCATTCAAGGTCACCCACTTTGGGACTTCTTGACTTAGGAGGCTCATCATTGCAGATTGTCGTGGAAGTTGATGATACAAGAGAAGATGCAAACTTAGTGAGATCAAAATTTGGTTTTGTCGAACATGATATTTTAGCTTACTCATTGTCGGAATTTGGATTGAATGAAGCATTTGATAGGACGGTTGTTATGCTCAGCCATATGGAACAACTCACAGAAAGTGCATCTGGTATAGTAGAGATCAGACATCCTTGTCTTCATACTGACATTGTGCAAAACTATACCTGCTATGGTTGCTCCCAGCTAAATGCTCCTGATCAGAAAAATGTGACCAGTCAAGTGCAAGAAACTAAATTTCCTTCTGTATATCTGGTTGGAGCGCCAAATTGGGAGCAATGCAGAAGACTTGCTAAGGTTGCTGCTATCAATTCAAGCACAGCTGACACAGACCTTAGAGCAAGGTCATGTTCTGATAATGGTAAGTATTACATTTGCTCCCCAGTTCAGCAGTTGAATTACAATTTTTTTTTCTTTCAAATATTTTGATGTTTGTTTATGGACTTTGACTCATCCAGTTATAAAAGGGCTTTTCTTTGTTGAAGATCACATACTTTCACATAGAAATTATCTCTACGCTCATGATTTTAGGATTCATATCACTTTTGTAATTCCCTGCTCATGTTCACAGGGAATGAAATGATAAATTTGACTGCTTTTGCTCACCCGAAAGCCCGCTTTCATGCACTATCTGGATTTTTTGCTATTTATGACAAGTTGAATTTGAGCGGAAGAGCCACCTTGATGAAGATTTGGGAGAAAGGCCAGCAAGTATGCTCCAGATCATGGTCTGACCTAAGCAGTAATTCACAGAATGCATATTTTGCTTGGCAATATTGCTTTCGTGTACCTTATGTGGCATCGCTCGTTGACGATGCCCTGTGTCTTGGTGACAAAGAGATCATTTTTGGTCCTGCGGATGTTACTTGGACATTAGGAGCTGCATTGGTCGAAGGAGAATATTTATGGTCAAGTCCTACTAGATCTCAAATTAGCATTTTAGCCCTAAATACGGAGGTTATATCCTCAACCTTTTTTGTACTTGTTTTACTTCTTTGTATTCTATTGATTGTATATTGTTGTCAAGTCAAGCTCCCCATGATAGGCAGGAAGAGCGCAGTAAGAGGACAGAAGATGATAGATTAGATGTTATGTACTCCTTAGATTGCATTAGGCAAATTTTATTCAATAACAATTCAAAGGCCAGAAATTGATTGACCATCATGCCTTCGTTGTTTCTTGTCGAGCAAAATTGGACCTGAACATATGAGTTTTTCTAACCCCAAAAATTATAAAGCTAAAAGTAAATACATTCTACTGGCAAAAGATAAAAGCCATTTTTTTGTACAAAAAGAATTATACACTGGTACATCAAATCAAAACTTGAGAGACATTTCTCAGTCTCTAAAATTGGCTGGCACTGTTGCATCAGTAAAATATTCCTTCCTGACAGTCTCCACGGAGCAAAACCTCACCTTCAAGAGACAAATACTTCAAATGAAACGGGAATAGTAGACAAGTAAACAAAAGAAAAATACAACAACAAACAAAGTTGCACATTCACAATAAAGTTTATGGTAGAGTGCCTGCATCAGATATCAAATTTACAATAGACACCTGACCTAAATTCCAACGATGGCTTTCAGAACTTGACTGACAGGCCACATTCACGAAAAATCTTAAGAAACTCTGTAGTAGATAATCTCAACTGTTTACCTATGGTGATGGAGTTAAAATAGAATGTAAGAAATTTGAGCCCAAGCATGCTCATGGAATGGAATGCTAAATTAGGTGTTCCCCCCTCCCCTTTTCTTTTACTCTCACACAAGTAGGTGGAGAAGTTTTTAAAGCTCAAAGGAGCTGAGGTCTTCCATATATCCCCTGCTCCTCCCATATGCGCATATTCACTAAAAGTATCAAATTTGAATGCCATTCAAGTGCAAATGCAGTATGAAATTTCATTTTGACTAAAAATATAGCTTTTGAACAAAATGATATGAAATATTCGTCTATGATGGAATACATACCAACGAAGCATATGATTTTAATAAAGGCTTGGCCAGCTGCCAAATTGGCTTGAATATAAATGGAGCTTCCACAAAGAGGACTTGGCCCAATCGCTTTGGATAATAATAGTAGAAAACATCAAACTGCAATAGATTGGGAATCAACTCAAAATGAGCATCATGAAATTTTCATGACAATTAATACCTATAAATAGCGCTGAAAAGGAATAATCAGCAGGTATCATCTAAAACGTACCAAAAATGTTATGAAACTTAAATCTGCATTCTCTGTACCGAAGCCTCGTAGGTCAAAGATTCCAAGTATGTCTTCTGTCCCTTCTGGAAGGGCACTCAATGCCTTCTCAATCAAAAACACGCAGAGCTTCTCATTCTCAGCATGATCATGCACCTATAACACATTGTTGTGCAGTTACCAATTAATCATACAAACTTTGATCTAAGCCAAAGGTAGAAAAAATTGGTCACAATTTTCAAAAGGGGCTACCAAACAAAACATTATGTTCTGGACTAAGATTGGTATGTAGCACCTCAGAATATTAAGATTATATGGTATGCAAGACCAGACACATTTTCAGGCACAGTGCATACCCAAAAGAATCAAACTTACAGCAGGAAGATGCTTAGAGGCATCCACTATGAGAACTGGTCTACCATTAACATCAAGAAAGTCATGTACATAAGCTTTTCCAGTTTCAGCTACACTCTTCACTGAATCGTGAGATAATTCAGACACCCCAAATTCTTCACGCCATTTCTATTACAGGATAAGGAAATACAAGGAAAAAAAGGAAACTATAATCATAAATGCATCAACATTTTCCAGATTTCCAGGAAAAAGAATCCAAAAAGAAATGAACTTTCCAAAGTAAAATGCAAGCAACAGCTAATGCAGCCAACCAAAATATTGAGTCCTGAAAAACATGATTGAGCTAGAGGAGGATACAATTGCTTTAGTCAGTCTTTCAACGGATTCGTCGATGGAAAACTTGCGGTCCTTGAGAAACCAGAGGATCATATCCTCATCATCTCTTCCATTTTTGCCTACAGGGAGACTTTGATGATCTTTCTCAAGCTTCTCCTTCACTTGCAAAACTAGCTGCAAAACCACCAAAGTATGCATCTAGCTACGCAAAATACAATGCAATCCACACATTTTGAAGAAGATTAAGAAATATAAATTGCTAAAAAAGTTTCAATCTTTATGTTCCTCAAAATGTGAACTAAAAATACAAACTTCAACACTCAAACATGCATATTATAATCATAATCTACAACTTTCCTAGTCACTTTCCCACAATTTTCCGCGAACCCAAACAGATGCAGAGTTAGTGGTACAGGTAAATGCAGGTAACTTTACCTTGTGTGATTCGTTGGGGTCTAAGCGGCAGCTCCGAACAGAGAAGCTTCGAACTTGGGAGGATTTAATTTGATAGGAGCAATTGGAGAGAAGAGGAAGACGACGAAGAGGGTTGCAGATACGGAGCTCCATTTGTGTGAATTAAGTGGTGTGAAACCGCTGAATCGGATCGCGGTTTTCGCAGGCGTTACATTAGGAGGGCGATGAGGCTGCCTGTCCTAAGCGTCTCACGGTGACGCGACGCCACGTGGCCCGCCAAAAAACAAAACTATTGTCCTTGCATTGCAAGAAGGACTAATTGGCAAATATTTTCAGAGAGGACAAACGACCTTGAGGCCAATTCACGAATAGTGAGAAATATACAATGTCGATTCTGCTCCACTAAACGACAAAATAATCGAGGGTACTTTTGACTTTTCATATTTTATAAGTTGTTACACTTCTCAAGTGTGGTTTCCATCACACGTGTTCGAGCAAAGCGCGCGCCTTTCTTCTTCTTCTTCTCTCTCTCTCCCATAAGCTTGTTCTTCAAACTTTCAAAGTTTGTGTCTTTTGCTTTTAGTTTTGATTAACTTAATCAGGTTTTTGTTATTAAGTGAGTGATTAACCGGTCGGTTTGATGGGTTTATCGTTTTTGGGTCTGAATTTCACTTCCAAGTAAGTTTGTGACCGTTGGATTTGTCAATGTCAGCAATTTCATGCTTCATTTACACGTACATTTATGTTTGTTATGTTGATGCAATTGTTGAAAGGTTTAAAGTTTGAACTTAGTCTTCTCAGTAGACTTTGTTTTTGTTGGCACTTGACAGTGAGTGAAATTAATGAGATTGTCCCTTTTGGCATGGCCTCATCCAACCCACTACTTGCTCCAATTGACATTTTCTAGCAATAATAGAAAAACCCAAGATTGAAATTTTGATTACAAGGATGCCAATTTTGGTTTTCAATAGTTGTGAAAATATAGAAAGAATTGATGTCACAGAAGTTCAAGAAAGAGGGTTGCTCTTGGATGCAGTCCAGCATCCTTGAGTGTGATCCCCATTTGGTCAACCCCATAAACTCTTTTTGGGAAGCTTGAAATCAATCTGTAGTTTGCTATGCCAGGGAGGCCTAATGAATCTATGTATCTGTAAATTGACTGCACTTTGTCTGTGCACAAGAAGCACTGCTCTCTTCTTTCCCCATTTGGAAACCTTATCAGTATCTGAAGAAAACAACAATGAAACAACCAAATTAACAATATAATTACTGCTTTTTTTTTAAACTCAAAATATGATGTTTTGTCTCTAAAATTATACCTGTGCAGCAGCCTGAGGATCCTTCCCCTTATTTGCAACCTCCTTGTATTGAGCTTCTCTTGTACTAGAAGCCTCTTTGGTTTTTCCATACTCTTGTTTGGTAGGGTAGTTTTGAAGTCTCTCATTTTTCGCTTTGGTAGGGGCTTCTGCTGGTTTCTGAGCTCTGTATGCTGGAGGTAGATTCTTTAGCTTCTCCTTTTCCTACAGAAATGGGCAAGAATGTTGGTTCATTGTCAACTTTCTGCTTCACTAGATAAAGTCTTGGACCTAAAGCATGGCATATATCATATGTATAGGCACAAACAAACCTTGTCTAACTGCAGAGCAGCAAGATATGCTGCGTCTTGTTCTTCTCTTAGACGACGGTCTGCTATTATAGCTTCTGCCTGATTGACCTTTGAACTACGAAAAGCCGATCCTTGTTCCTCCACAGTCCTCTGCAGAATCCCCACCAGCTCAGTTGGGGAAATTGGTCCTTCCATCTAAACATGGACAAAGCAAAGAACAATAGTGATGGTTTAGGCATTCAATATGTATATCTAGAACCAATGGATGATTATTTAATGAAAAAAGTACTAAAATACTTTCAAATTTCAACCAACCTGTCTTAGCACTGCTATGCTTTCACCAGGAGCAGGAGCTATAACAGCACAGAATGGAAAGCAAGAAGGGTTCATTGTTGCAGCCATTTGTAGACCTTCCCCTCTATCAGCAAGTGCTCCCCAGGAAACAAAGTTAGCATCAAGAAACTGCACCACCAGCTCTGAAGACAGTGTCTCCCTACAGAAAGAGGGTGTGAAGGGATGTTCCGGTGAGTGGAGATACATAAACAAGAACTTGTGTTCACCCTCTGCAATCTTTAAGGCCTCCATAAAATGGCAAGCATAAAAGAATGGATGCATGGTGCCATATTGCTGCTCAAAGCTAGGTAGAAAAGCTGATACATCTAGACCAATTAGGGGATCTTCTGGATGCTGCAGTTGAAAGTTTGATGGTAGAGTTTGAGCTTTTCTTCCTCCTATTCCTATTAGGCCTCTACGATGACCCATGGCTCTTGAAAATCCTCCTATAATGCTTCTGGGAAGGCTTACCATCCGGCGAACAATCCCATTGTGAGAGGCCTCTCCTGCTGATCTTACGCCTTCCCTCATCGCCGATGACATAGTTAACTATCTACACTATCCCCCAAGGATAACAGAAAATTGGAAAGAAAGAAAAAAAACAAAGTACAGTGTTGAAATTGCTCTTTGCTTATTAGAGTGATGGTGAGATTAGTTGAGCTTAACATGTGGCTTTGTAAGACCAAATGAGATATATAGTTTATGAACAAACAAGCAGCAGTCAGTTTCATTGTTCCTTTATTTGATGAAAGTTCAATTGTAGAGATAAAAAAGAGCATTGTGGGAGAATGTGAAGATGCCTCTTCCTTTTTCAGGTTCTACAAAGATGGAAGGAGAAGGATGCTTTTCTTGTCAAGCAATCCACCGTTAATTGAGGAAGAGATGCATTCAATTTGATTGAAACAGACTATGGTGGACAGAGGATCCATCTTTTTATCCATCATTTCAGAGTCCAAAGAATTCATGCTCCTTGCAATGCTGATATGACAGATTAATAATTTGTTTTCAGAATCTGTTCTTCCATGAATGTTTTTTTTCAATACCAACAAATCAAATCAATTGAAAACTGGAAATTGAAGGGCCAGAATTTTGGAATAAAGATAAAAGTTAAAGTGAATGTTATGTGTAAAATGAAATTAATTGGTTGGAGCATGCTTTATTTAATTATTCAAGAACTGACAACTTGTTGCCAATATAGTCAAGGTAGCCCTTTTCGCAGATTAGCATCATTGTTAGCTTTAAAATGTCAAGATTAGTGACCAAAGTAATGAAAGTGTTTTCTGTACTTGAGTTGATTGATCATCTTCCAAGTCTTCCAGACCAGTTTTCTCTTCTTTCATATCTTTCAGGGTAAGTCATGATGTCAAGAAATCTTTTTGACCTCCAAACCACAAACCACATTAATTTTTTATTTACAAAAGAATTAAAAGAAAAAAAAATCAAAAACCAAAATAAATTCAAACAGTTTGTTTGAAACTTTGAATGGTTGCTACCCATGTGACAGTGGAAGTCCCTACATGTATAATTGCATCATACCTTTGAAGGTCTCAAAGTGTTGTGCTTTTGAAAAAAGCCAAATAATTTCCAGCTTTTCTTTCATATATAAATAGTGGAAAAAAAGATAGTAATAGCTCCTATGAAAGATAAACATCACATGGTCTCCACATTCATCTGAGAATATGACCCATCACCATCTTCAACCTTCCAAGTAGGCACTAAGATAGGTATAGTGCCTTATAGCTTCTGCATTATATAATCTGCAGGCACCACTATGTATCCTAGGCTATAAATGGACTGTCTTATGATGATGCTGAAGATTTTGGTCATGAAAAATTAAGTGAATATGCTAATTGGGTTTTTATTTTATTTTATAATTTCTTATTAGCCCTTACTCTTAGAAACCAGAGCTTATGGTGCAAGTAAGAATGTTATCCATTTCTGGTACCTGCAAATCTTAATCATGGAATAATCATATGATTATATTCTAATTGTTTGCTCATCATTCTTTTAAAACGGTATTTTCACAATTCACAAGAGAATCTACCAGCTGGGCGTGCCTTCTGCTACAAACTAGAAACTGCAGATGATGTAAGATTTAATATCAGTCATATCAGACCAAGAATGAAGAATTAGAGCAAATCCCAGTATAATATCAGAGCTAGCTCCAACAAAATTACAGGGCAATAATATTTTTGCTTTTGCAAGTTGGCACCCTTTCAAAAAGCATATGGCAATGGCAGCCTTTCAAGCCAAGAAGAAAAAAAGGTGACATAGTTTTATATAGTTTATGCCATGAAATGACATTAACTTTAATGGATTACATAACCAACACAAATTTTAAAGAATATAATCCATTCCATGAGAGATCTTGGATAGCTTCAAAGTTCAAACATGTATAAATTCAGGCCATACTCTTTTTTTCTCCTTTAAAAATTTGTAGATTATAGTGGGGCTGGAATCTGTTCTCTCAGAACAACTTTTCGAAAGGGGGCATGGTATGGTTGCCACTGGAACAACTTAATAATCTCAATGTGGTGATGTTGCTTTTAATGAGCGTGGGCTTAGGGTGGACCAATATTCTTCAACTGGTTGCTGCAGAAGTTGTTGGGAGTGTGAACGGATCTTTTGTGAAAAGAAGAGAGCATTAAAGATAGAATAGAAATTAGCAAACGGGGGAGGGGATGAGGCCTCAAGCTGAAAACTCGTTTGAAACGGGAAAAAATTATCACGTATGATATACCATGATTAATCCAAGTAGTAAAATAACATTATTCCCGTTGCATTTGAAAGTAGCAAGCAAGCACCATTGCCCAGGACCCTAAAAAGAGAACGAAGCACCAGGCTTGAGGGCCCATACCTTTCTGCCTCCCACAAGCTTTAGTGCCAACCAAGTTAATTGCATGGTTAATTACAAAAAATTACTAGGTATAGGTAGGAATCTTTTAACTTTCATATCATGGTAATGGCAATTTAAAATAAAGTTTTTGTATAATTAGGAGCTTTATTAGACCTTAGTATGATTGATTACACATTAGAGTGGTATGCACATGTGGCTTTTTTGCTGGCCCTTAATTACTTTTGGGAATCTTATTATTATATAGGTGATGGTACCCTCTTCTTGCGGCATTAAACTAGCAAACCCATACTGATTTGGACATCAAGCTTTTGGCTGCTGTCACACTGTCAATTTCAATGACAATTCTCTCTTATCAGTATCTTGTGTGTTTATAATATGAGTTGATTAATAGTATTATTTATAACAAGAGAATAATAACTTTACAAATTTATAAATAAACTCAATTCTATATATGTATTTATAAAAAAATCTAAGCACTGTTTAAACATAGAAACACATTCAAAATCAACAATTGTATATTTTTTTGGTGTGTTTATAAATGGATTTTGAGTGTGTGTAATGATGAGTTTTGGGTGTGTTTATAAAGTGTTTTGGGTGTTGGGTTTTTTTTATAATTTCAGCCCTCATTTTAGGTGTTTTAGTGAAACTCCCTAATAACTTCTTGTATTATTATCAAATTACTGATATATTTATTAATATTATATCTTTTAAACACATACGTTTATAATACGAGTAAATCAATAACACCACGTGTTACGGAAAAGTTGAAAAACTTCCCACCTTTAAGCCCTAATGGAATGGTGCCCTCTTATAACATTAAACTAGCAAGGGCAAAGCTAACCTTATTTGGAGATTAGGGTCAGTCTGAATCATCAAGCTTGATGCTGATGCTACACTATCAATTCCAACAGTAAATTCTCTGCTACTATTGTCGCTTGGAGGCTTGTGGGTTATATCTTGCATCACAAATTGTCGGCATATGGGAATTTGACATGCTTGACCTTTGGCGTCACGCCTAACCATGATCTTGACATCAAATATAGATGGACCTACCTAATCAATATGCACCCTACGGCATCGTTTTCCTTAGTAAATGTTGTATAGCCTAAATAAATTGGGGGTGAAGGTTATTAGTATTACTGATGTTAAATCTTCACAAAATGGTTATTTAACAAGAACTCTTTTATATATATTTTTTTCAAATATGAGATTAGTCAAGTTGGCTAGAACAGATACATCCAAGTTAAAAATATTTTATAAACAATTTTTTTTGCATTTCTAGTTTGGTAAATCATCTATTTCCCATCGTTTCTTACAGGCAAAAGCATTGACTTTTCCATTTTGGAGTGAATTGCAGAGCATTGACAATCTAATAAACAAACCAGAAGGCACGGCAATTTGGCAAGTAAGATGCTGCTGAGAGCACAAGAGGCACATGCTGCAGAATTTTTTCTCAAACTTTCATCTGATCATTGCCTTAAGTCACACCAATTACAAAAGCATTTTCTTTTTCTCCTCTGTCATAAGTATTTACAGGAATCTTTTGATTACCAATAATTTTATATATAGTCAAAAGATTTTACCCACTTGGGAAATGTGAAGTGGGAATTTATTTATTTATTTTCATGGTCCATTTGAAATGATGAAATATACATATGGATGGATGGTCCATTAGAAATTATAATGTGAGGTTGTGCACTACAACTGTTCCACTTCCTAGTGGTAACGGGTGACAGCAATATGATATCATTTTATTTATTAAATCTCCAGAACATAGATCCATTAGAGGAAGGGAAATAATGAGACTGGAAAGATGTTGCAAGGGCCAAAATGGAATGAGCTGAAAACAAAAGATTCTTTCAGCCAAAAAAGAAGAAGAGAATCCAGAAGCTGTTAATTTTTAGCGATACCTGGCTTGGCTTAAGCTGTTAATTTCTAAATTAATTAACCTGAAACTTGAAGCACCCACTTCTCTCTCTCTCTCTCTCTTTGTGAAAAGAATTTAAAACCATTTTGACCGCAACCCTCTAAAGACTTAAACTTGGGAAGTACCAAGCCCCACCAATCCAAGTCTATTTTAATATGCTCATGCCTCTAATTTTCTTAGGTGTCAGAAACACAAAACCAAGCCCCAAGAATCTCTCTCCTTGAGAGTGTGTGTGTGTGAGAGAGAGAGAGAGAGAGTTGTTTATATGTTGGAAATGGTGAGGCAGTGAATCAAAGTGATTAACTTGGCTGGCTTGGCAGACTTCATCTTTGATGGTTGCTTGTGTTTTGTAAGGACATGAAGGGAGATTATTCAGGTCCATGGACAAAACAGAAGAATGAATACAACACACCCTCCTCATGTTGTTATGCAATTCAGCACACAACAAGAAGACAACAACAATGCATACAAACACAAACTGTTGTTGTTGTTGTACCAAAACAGAAACCTACTCCACTAAAACATTCCTCTAAACTGGCTCTTCTTCCTTGCCACATCCACACCAACACTTTCTCATTCGATCCCATGCTTCTTGTTCTTTTATTTCTTGTTGCTTCTTCTCTCTTCAACCCTGCATTGTCATACCCAATTGTCTCAGATTCCGGCCGCCGCCTCTCGCCGGCCAATCAGACTTTTCAGCCAGGTTCAGAGTTGAACAAGTTGAGGGTTGTCCAATCATATTTAAAGAAGATCAACAAGCCTGCAGTCAAGACTATCCAGGCATTTTCCTTTTGTCTTTGATAGTGAACTTCTATATGCTGCAAAGTTCATCTTCTTCTTGTCTTCTTTTTTCTGTTTTTGTTTTTCATTTTTTCGAATCGATCAATAATTGTCCTCCATGAAATTTCAACCCAGCATAGTTAATGACTTTGGTTGCTGTTTATTACTGTCTACAGAGCCCTGATGGTGATGTGATAGACTGTGTTTTATCTCATCTTCAACCTGCTTTTGACCATCCTGAGCTTAAAGGACAGAAGCCATTGGTAATTTCGATGAAATACCTACCCTTTTTCAAGTTTGGAAAGTTAATGTGCAATAAGTTTATTTATAATTAAGGAACATGGTTCTACAGGATGAACCAGAGAGGCCCAAAGATAAAGGCTATAACAACACAGATATAGTGGGAGGCAGTTATCAACTGTGGTCAGATTCTGGTGAATCCTGCCCACAAGGAACTGTTCCAATCAGGAGGACAGCAGATAAAGACATTTTAAGAGCAAGCTCCATCAGAAGATTTGGAAGAAAACCAAGAAGAAGTGTGAGGAGAGATTCATCAGGCAGTGGCCATGAGGTTAGTGTTTTTCATCACAAAATTTAAAACTGGTAATACAAACTGTCATTGACTAAATATTTTTATTTTGGTTTGGATATTTGACAGCATGCAGTTGTGTTTGTAAATGGAGATCAATATTATGGAGCAAAGGCCAGCATAAATGTGTGGGCTCCACGTGTGACTGATCAATATGAATTTAGCTTGTCACAGATTTGGGTAATCTCTGGTTCATTTGGCCATGATCTAAATACCATTGAAGCTGGATGGCAGGCATGTCTCTCAGATTTCAGATTTGTCTTGCACAAATTAAATTTCCCAAGTTTTTTTTCTTCTAAAATTTTAAAAGCAATGGCTTTTTTTTCCTCTTTCCTTCTTCAGGTTAGCCCAGAGTTATATGGAGACAACTACCCTAGATTCTTTACATACTGGACAGTAAGTTTTATTAGAATCCTTGTTTTTCTCTTCTGCCTATAAAATGACAGAGGTGCTAATTTGATGCTTATAATATACAGACAGATGCATATCAAGCCACTGGATGCTACAACTTGCTTTGCTCTGGCTTTGTCCAAACTAATAACAAGATTGCTATTGGAGCAGCAATCTCTCCAAGGTCTTCTTATGGTAGCAGACAATTTGACATTGGCTTGATGGTTTGGAAGGTGAGAGTTTTGGTCAAAATTGAAATGATTTATATTCAAAGCCAAAAAAAGACAAAGTTAAATCAAATCAATATCATGAGAATTCAGTTTGCCGTCTTGAGGTTTAAGGTAGTTTGTTTTGGTTGGTCACAAGCACAACCAGAAAAAAGAAAAATCTGTTATTCCCCTTATTTTTATATTTAAAGACTAATAATATTCTTTCACTTCCCCAAGGTTAAACTTTGCTTCTTTTCTTCATAATAGGGCATTTCTATTATTTTATTTATTGTTTTTTTTCCCTTTCACTTGCATGAATGATTGTGTGAATACTTTTTACTTCTAGATATAATCTGCAGAACCAGATAATAAGACAATAAAATAAAACCCATCATGTAAGGGACAAAAACTCATCATTATGCAGTCAAAAGACGAGGCAAGACAAATAACCTAATGGATTACAATCAGATTGATCTAACAAAGCTACCAACATGTAATTATGATATTGCAGGATCCAAAGCATGGTCACTGGTGGCTAGAATTTGGTAATGGCCTACTAGTTGGATATTGGCCTGCATTCTTGTTTAGTCACCTGAGGAGCCATGCAAGCATGGTGCAATTTGGAGGAGAAATTGTAAATAGTAGATCAATGGGATACCACACATCTACACAAATGGGGAGTGGCCAATTTGCAGAAGCTGGATTTGGAAAAGCATCTTACTTCAGAAATTTGCAAGTAGTTGATTGGGATAATAACCTACTTCCTCTTACAAATCTTCACCTCCAGGCTGATCATCCAAATTGTTATGATATAAGACAAGGAAGAAACAATGTGTGGGGGACTTACTTTTACTATGGAGGCCCTGGAAGAAATGTAAGGTGTCCATGAATATAAAAGCATAGTACAGAAAGCAACCTGTCTTGATTTTGATTTTGATTTTTTTCATTTTGAGGTATTTATTATTTTTTTCCTTTGTAGGCCATAACAAGGGTTTTGTTGTATTTTACAGTCCTCATTTATAAAAAAAAAAAAAAAAAAAAAAAAAAAAAAAAAAAAGTGTCTTCAAAACCTTTAGCACCCTCTCACTGGGGCCATGTAAATTTGAGGACAGAGAAAGTGTTGTGGTTTGGAAAACCCATACAGCTTTAGAAGTTGAAAACTTTCTTGGTCTGAAGCAAAGCAAAATGCATGATATTTTAGTGGCAAAGCATCCTTATTTTAAGGCCAAGCATGTGGGGAGCAACAAGGACACAAAATTTAAAAGAATCCAGCACACATAACCACTTGAAGTACTCTCAACCCTTTTCTGACTTTATAATATCATAGACATATCCTACCTTCTAACTCAGTTTTCTAAATCCTCAAGTAAATACAAGAATCTCAGTTTCCGCAATTATAATGTTGATATTAACGTAGAGTCGTCAACCCCAAATTGTATTTAAATAGTTGAAATCTGCACTTCCAGCCAAGCTTCTGCTCCTGGCAGCACATTTTGTCCTTTTTCATTGTTGATGACCAGAGAGTCTACCCATTTGAATCAGGTGTTCAGTTTTCTAGAAAATGCCTTAAATCACTTCAGCATGTATTTGTGGTAAAGTAGGGAAAACAGAGATACTGGGGACAAAGCATAAAATTTTATGCAAAGCTTAAGGCTTCAACTTAAAGCAGAGTTGAAGGCGCATTGCAGAACAGTTCTGTCAATGATGACCAAGGAAAAGCACTCAAAGACGCTTCGCTTGAAAGCAAAGAAACCAGAAGAAAAATGAGACATTTCCTTTTGGTTTGTTTTACTTTCGCAGGTCCACATTGATAGCGGGGACAGATGAATCATGAAACGCGTTAAAAGAATATCCCGCTCTTCTTCTTCTTTCTTCTTCTTCTTTTTTTTTTTTTTTTTTTTTTTTTCCTTTTTTAATTTACATACACTTTAAATCATAATATTCAATACTAAAAGCAAGCTGTGAAGCTGCTTAATCATAAAAACAAAACAAAAAAATCAAAAATCATTAAAATAGAAAATTTATATAAAGGTAAAAGGAGAAAGAAGAATGAATTGTTTATCTAATATTTAGAATTATACAAAGTGGATTCACCGACTCAGCAGAGTTGGTCAAACTTCATTGAGACAATAAGAATCAGCCAACTTCAAGGGCAAATATCATGCACAGGGCTGCAACCACCATGGTTGCTATTAGGATCTCATAAGCCAAATAGGCAGTGCTTCAGGAGATTTATAATCTTGGCGTTTGGCCACCACAAAGATAGGTCAAGATGCACCTTCGAAATATATTGAGAACCAGTTGTTCACCATGGACATTTTGTAGCAGAGTATCATTCTAGTGAGTCTGTTAATCATTGTTCAATTTAGATGGGAATCATCTTCTGCTATTCGAACGCCCATAAATTCTGCAACAGCAAGTTCTATAAATTTAATAAGATCTTCAGGATTGCAGACTTGAGAACTACAAGTTCCTATGACGTCCAAGACCCTCATATCATCTATCCAAGCATTCTTTGTTGCAGAATTCCAGTTCTGTTGCATGTGTACCATTCCATATGTTTTTCCCAAAATTGTACACAGTTTAAAGAACTCGGGATCCTTTAAGGTTTCCCGAAAATCCAAATGAAATCCATGACTTCCTGTCAAATCTTCTACAGATTTTATATTCAACGCAATTTTCTGAATAGATGCAAGGTTGAAAGTCAAATGCTGAGCTATTGGGGATAAATTCCAAGTGTGATTCCCATTCTTTCTAGCGAGATAATGAAGTTGGATAAAGTTGGCTAAGGACAACCGTGCTAGGAAGATTAAGAAATCATTGAAGTTCATGCCTGCATTAAAAAGAGAGAATTAGTATGCAGCATACGATTTTTCAATCATTTTGTTCACTCTAAAAAAAAGATCCATCTTCCTCTTTCAGGTGCTTGAGTTGACAATGGCCGAATTCAGCTAATAATTCAGTAGTTATGATTATGAACAAGTCCCTGGCTTAGCCACTTAGGAAATCTAAACAAGCTTAGGTTAATGCATGCCCGCTTTTTAGAAGATTAGGATACCGTGACATTAAAGTACTGAATTTAAGCATTCTCCAAAACTTTATAATCTACCTGTATTAGCGGCAAGGTTGCGTTGGCAGAGACCTTCAAAGTCATCACATATATCCTTGATGTCTTCTATGTACTCCTTAGCCTCGTTGTAGTCCCTCAAGAGCAAATCCCACTACAATTAATGAGATAAATGTTAGTTCCACTAGAACATTGGCTTCATCAATGTTTCATGGAATGCTAGAGTTTTAACACATGAGGTACTTGGCAGTAATGTTCCTCTTACCACCCAACAGAGATTATAAGCGTTGAACCAGTTGTGGTTTATTGAAATTGTATCTTCCTGAAAGCATTATGAACACAAATAAGATGATAAGCTTTCATTCCAGGCCAAGAAGAAAAGGATAAGATATTTTTATTTTGTTCAAGTATATAATCAAGTACTGCTGTTAGTTTTTTTTTTCCTTATTTTACATATAGGAAAAGTTCAACTTCACATAGAGAGTGGTTTACTTGGACAGCCTTTCTAAAATCAATCACATGCTTTCAGACTTTTATTTTATGTATCAAAAAATCCAAGCATGAAAAAAACTTGAAGAAATAGAAGACATACCAAATTATGAACTTGATGATACCATCCGCTAGGCACAAAGATAATCTCATTTTGCTCTTGAGTGCACTCCAACCAGATAGTCTGCTCAAGAGAAGAATATAAATTTCAAACACAAGGAAAGTAGCAAAATAAAGATAAAAAGAATTGACGAAAAAAATTGAAGATTGATGATTTACCTCTGCAAACCCAGAAATCTTAGTTTCATTAACTTCATCAAAGATATTATATACACAGCTTTTCATATTCCTGAGAGAAGAGGAGGAGAGGGGGGGTGGGGAAGGGAAGAGAGAAAGTCGTATAAGAAGAGAAATATGGTACTCTTTTTATCAAACCAATAAACAAATCAATCTCTCTGATTATTATTAGTGCAAGAAACTGTAACCATGCCTGTCAAACACAAGATGACTTTGAGAAGGAGACAGGAAAAGCCACCGTTTTTTGCCGCACACATTGGCTGACCAGCTATACGACCTAAAAACATCAGCATGAAAAGGAGTCCAGGTGCCTGCATAAAGATGAAATGTTAGGTAGTTTCATGTGGGTTAAACTAAAGAAAGGGGAAGCTAAATCTCTGTTAAAGAAATTTACTTAGATGACATCTATGATTAACAAAAAAGAGAATGCGTCTATCACAAATATGCTCGAACCTTTTGCTCCCATGTAAACAAAACGATAATCAGAGCAACTTATTTCGTTATTTTCTGAGTAAATGTTGGGATCATTATGCATATGATAATTGTCAAGATATATGTTGAGCCAATCATCACAAAAGAACACCGGAGTTGTGTATGCTTCATATTCTGGGTACTCCTGAAGATCAGAATACAATAGGACGATAGAACAAGTGAGGCGACTGAGCTGGAAACTTTTCACATATTAAACATAGACTAGACACGATGATATGGACAAAGTGACAGACTATCAAAGCTGACATGTCCCGAACATACATCTTTCTTTTTTTTCTTTTTTTTCTTTTTGAACAAGTAAATAAACTTATCAAACATAGAGACTCAAATTCCACATACACCTGAAGCAGACAGTAGCAAAGACGAAGAAAGCAACAAGTCACCAAGAAACTCATCCTTTAACTTAGCATTAAAATGCCACAACTAACTCCTCAACTGCCCATAGTTATAACTCCCTATCAATAAAGAGTGGATTCTAACTAGTACCTTTACAAAATGCCAGTCCTTCAAATATAGCGACATCTTGCTCATAGCTGAATGACTTGAAGCATTGCCATGCTCCTGCATGGGGTCCCCAAGCCATTGCTCAACAAATTCTGCAACAGTCATTTCCAACCTCTTCTGATCTGTGAATTCCCTAGTACCACAATCTGCAACCTAAAAGTAGCAAAATGTCACATCATCTTTAAAAGGTAGAGAGCAAACCCAGACTAGCATGGTCATATATACATCAAACATAAAAAGCCTGAACCTTTAAACCATTTATTCAACTCCAAACCCACAGAAAACAAAACAAACCAAAAGTAAGGGGTAGTGGGTTAGCTAATATCTAATAACCATTGTCAATCTTCTTAATTATGATTAATTCCTCTAATATACTTCATTGAAATCAGCTTCATGCTGAAGCTCCCAGTGTAACCAACCAAAGGAAAAAGAGTAAAAACTTCAACTTTGTGCGAGAAATTAAGTACCTGAACTTTGGATTTCCCAAAATGGGTAGCGAAAAATTGAAGATTGGGCTGGCCATTGTCAGTGACCCAGTCTCTGCAAGCCCTCCAATCGTCCATAAGACCTGTGAGCACCACAGGCTGATTTTTCTCCATGTATCTCTCTACAAACTCATGGTAACTCAGCTCTTTCCCGTTCACCTTCTCAATTTGCCCGGCAATTTTGATACCCATATTTTCTCCTCTCAGCTTAGGCAAACTTCACCGAGTCTATTCATTTCATGCGTTCGGTTTCTGTGCGCGGCCTATTGATTTGGGGAAGAAGGCTTACTCTGGGCCGGGTTGGGCCCAAAGTACTTTTATTGGGGCATGTTGGGCTCAATAAAAATGTTGTCCAAAAGCCTAAAGTGAACAGCCCACGTGGCCTCTTGCATCCCGGGCCACGTGGGCAGAGATATACCTTTACCCGCACGTAACCCGAATAAAATCTCCTAGCCCTAAACTGAATAGGCTTTTCATTCTCTTCAACGAGATTTGAAACTCACAAAACCTTTGGTTGACGAAGAAAAGCACAAGAAAGCAAACTAGAAGCAACGACAATGGCGGCTCCAAGTTCATCTGCTCATGATCAATCTCAGCCCTCTTCTTCTTCAGACCTGTACGTATTCCTAGTCATATGTTTATAGCTATTTTTGTTTCCTGCGAAAGTATTAGTATTAAGGTTTCTAAAATAAGCTAAGTTTAAATAAGACAAAATGGTCCAGCGCCTCCAATTAAGAACCATCCGGATAACATTTTTTTTCTACCTCTCCAATCGGAAGAGGAAAACTTTAATTGTCTGTACTAACTAAACAATTTAAGGCTTAGAGTGGACTTTCAAATCATTTTCTCTTTAAATTTTTAGTGACAAAGATGCGATTTTTCAAGAGTAATGTGTGCGTGGGGGTGGGGGGTTTTCTGCTAAAACTTTAATCACAAAGATAAGAGAATTTAAAGTTTTCTGGGATTGTTGCGTTTGAGTTTTCTTGAACTCGAAAATTTTAACCAAAAGAGTTGCTTCTTTTTTTTTTTGCCACAAGAATTTCTTGTATTTCGGGATTCTAGTTTTGAATGAGATAATTGGAGTATTTGTATGCAAATTGACGATTGTTCTTGTTAGCCGAGTTTTTTATGATGGTTCAGAATGTACTTAATTGTTGTCAAAATATGGATCATATTAATTCTATGTCCGCAAGAGTAATTAAAGTATTTGTGTCCAAAACAGGAAAAGTAACAAGAAGGATTTTTCCACTGCAATTTCGGAACGCAAGAAGTCTCCGAATCGACTTGTTGTAGATGAAGCTGTCAATGATGAAAACTCTGTGGTTTCCTTGCACCCTGCTACAATGGAAAAGCTTCAGCTTATTTGTGGAGACATTGTTTTAATTAAGGTAATTTTGCTCTCCTGTATTTTGAATAGAGTAAATGCCAGTAATTTCAATCTCTAAATGCCTGGAATTTAAATGTCACTTAATTTTTGGGCCTATACAGGGGAAAAAACGAGGAGACAGTTTGTATTGTTCTTGCTGATGACGAATGCGAGCAACCGAATATCAGAATGAACAAAGTTGTGCGAGCTAATCTTAGGGTTTGTATTGGAGATGTTGTGTCGATTCATCACAGCCCTGATGTCAAGAATGGAAACCAGGTTCACATCCTTCCAATTGATGATACAATTGAAGGAGTGACTGGAAACTTGTTTGATGCATATTTGAAGCGTGAGTTTTCTCTTTCAAATTTAATCCTTTGTTGATTGTATCATACAAAAATCTTTTGTTGCAATTAAGCTTTGTGCTTCTGTGCATGTCTATTAACATTCTTACTGGTTTTGCAGCATACTTCACAGATGCATACCGGCCTGTGAGGAAGGGTGACCTTTTCCTGGTTAGGGGTATGATGAGAAGTGTTGAGTTCAAGGTCATGGAGACAAACCCTTCTGAGTAAATGGAGAACCAGATACTCTTTTGGTTATGGAGACAAACACTTTAAGGTCATGGAGACAAACCCTTCTGAGTAAAAATCTCATTAGCTGCATTGTTGCACCAGATACTGAGATTTTCTGTGACGGAGAACCTATCAAGCGTGAAGATGAGGAAAGATTAGATGAGGTGGGCTATGATGATGTTGGAGGTGTTAGGAAGCACATGGCTCAAATACGTAAGCTGGTAGAACTTCCTCTTAGACATCCACAGACAGCTCTTCAAATCAATTGGAGTGAAACCCCCTAAAGGCATTTTGCTTTATGGGCCACCCGGGACTGGCAAAACTGCTAATGAGACTGGTGCATTCTTCTTTTTGATTAATGGACCTGAAATCATGTCAAAGATGGCTGGTGAGAGTGAAAGCAACTTGACGAAGGGATTCGAGGAAGAAGAAAAGAATGCACCCTCAATCATTTTTATTGATGAGATAGATTCTATTGCTCCAAAGAGGGAAAAGACCCATGGTGAAGTGGAAAAGCGTATAGTATCTCAACTTCTTACTTTAATGGATGGCCTTAAGTCTCGTGTTATTGTCATGGGAGCTACGAATAGGCCAAACAGCATTGATCCTACTCTGAGGAGATTCGGTAGATTCGATAGAGAGATTGACATCGGTGTTCCAGATGAAGTTGGAAGATTGGAAGTTTTAAGAATCCATACAAAGAAGATGAAACTTGCAGCTGATGTAAGATTTTTCCACTGGCTTTTCATATCACATAGTTTTGTGTTTTACTGCGGCAACAGTTTCTGATGCTTAGTTGGTGTTCTGTTACACTTGGTTGATCTTGAAAGAGTTGGAAAAGACACTCATGGTTTTGTTGGGGCAGATCTTGCTGCTTTCTGCTCAGAGGCTGCTTTTCAGTGCATCCGGGAGAAAATGGATGTGATTGACTTAGAAGACTATACGATTGATGCTGAGGTGTTGAATTCCATGGCTGTGACGAATGAACACTTCCAGACTGCATTGGCCTCTACAAATCCTTCAGCCTTGAGAGAAACTGTGAGTTTAAATTTTTATAAATTTGAAAGAACCAAGCTTCAATTGTTATCTAGAACTTGCTACTGAGAAAATCTTTGGGGGTACTTGAGAATGACAAGTTCTTTTCTTGGTTTTGCAGGTTGTGGAGGTACCTAATGTCCCATGGGATGCCATTGGTGGCTTGGAGAATGTCAAAAGAGAACTTCAAGAGGTTTGTGAGTCAGTTTTATCTCTTTCTTCTTTATATCATTTATTTGGACAAAATTTCATACTAATTCTTTCACCTCTGGCAGACTGTCCAATACCCCCGTGGAGCATCCAGAGAAGTTCGAGAAATTTGGCATGTCGCCTTCTAAAGGTGTTCTCTTTTATGCACCACCTGGATGTGGAAAAGCCCTTCTTGCCAAGGCAATTGCCAATGAATGTCAGGCCAACTTCATCAGCATCAAAGGACCCGAATTGCTGACAATGTGGTTTGGAGAAAGTGAGGCAAATGTGCGTGAGATCTTTGACAAGGCTCGCCAGTCTGCTCCTTGTGTTCTTTTCTTTGATGAGCTGGACTCAATTGCATCTCAGGTACTAAATATTTTTTCGTTCTTTTTATTTAAAATCAACAGCTTTTCTCCTTGAACCAACTCTAAAACCCCCTCCCTCTGTCAGCGTGGCAATTCTGTAAGAGACGCGGGTGGCCCTAGAGATAAGAGTCTTGAACCAACTTCTAACTGAAATGGATGGAATGAATGCAAAGAAAACCGTCTTCGTCACTGGGGCAACGAACAGGCCAGACATTATCGACCCGGCATTGCTCAGGCCTGAACGACCCATCTCTAAGGATATTGACCTTGCAGCTCTTGCCTGTTATACACAAGGTTTTAGTGGTGCAGATGCCTGCAAGTATGCCATTAGAGAAAACATTGAAGACGTAAGAGGTTTTCTCCTGCTAGAGTTAGTTTTGTTTGCCGCATATGCTCCTTAAAAGATTATTGTTTTGAAAGATAGAAAATATTTTAAGTTTCCTTCACACACAAGAAACGAATTGCAGCATAAACAGGATTCATAGATGCCAATTGATAGTTTATTCTAAATTTTTTATGCATCACATGAGAAATTCCATACTCATTTTTTTGTTTCCTCTTCAACCAATTTCTAGGATATTGAGAGGGAGAGAGAGCCCAGAAGCCATGGAAGAGGATGGCATTGAGGAAGAGGTACAAGAGATAAAGCCAGCTCACTTTGAGGAGTCAATGAAATATGCCCCGCAGAAGTGTGAGCGATTCAACCATCAGGATGTACCAGCAATTTGCTCAGACTTTACAGCAATCTCGTGGTTTTGGATCTGAGTTTCGATTTTCGGAACAGACCAACAACACTGCAGGAGGAGCTCCATTTTCTTCAGCCACAGCTGCTGCACCTGCAGATGATCTGTACAGCTGAACTATAACCAATGATGCTTACTGCTGAACTATAACCAATGATGCTGATCTGTACAGATGATCTTTGATGGGGAAGAAGAAGAATTGTAAATGTTAAGCTTGATGCTTTTCTTACAACTGTATACATTTTGTTCATCACATAATTTAAATATTTGGATTTGTATTGAAAGTAAATATAATTTAACACCAGATGAGATGAAATGTACCATGCCTAATTTTTTGGTCATGTGTGGGATGTCCAATTCCATGCATGCATAGTGGACCCTACAACTTTACAAGCTTACCTCTACTGTATATACAAAACTATAAAAGTCCCTCATGAATCATGATCTGCATGCACTGGGAATCTTTGATGTCTGCTTTTCAGAAAAAAAGTATTAAAAACCAAGAGACTGGATCTCAGATCTCACATATCTTACATATGATATATGGAGTCCATAATGTTGCATGTGCGGTCACGTGAGCTCAAGCAAAAGGTCATCAGAGAGAGAGAGAGAAGGGCATCTTTTTCTTGCCCTCCACCTTTCTGCATAAGTATGGAAGATACTGCTAAATAAAATAGAGAATTTGTGAGCTACACAAAAAATACACCACTGTATTTTTTTAATATCTGATTTTGTTTTTGTTTATTTTAATTAAGATCTAGATGAATTCTTCTGTCTATTGTTCACATGGTGGGGGCCTAGATGGTTACAGAGCACTTCCTCTTATTAACAGCGACTGTGGGGAGAGAGATAAGGAGGGATTGGCTTCCCCAATTATAGCAGAAGCTCACATTTCCCCACCACACATCCCTACCTTTCTTCTTTCTCTTTCACACCCAAGAAGAGAAAAATCCATATATCCCTCCAAAATTCTTTACCAAGTTTGCAGCACACAACAACATGTGAATTTGTAATCATAAAATATAAAAAATAAAAAGAAGGAAACAATTGCAAGTTGCATGCACACAACACACGCATCCATCCACACATCCCCTCCTTGCTCCTTTTTGGAGAAAGAAATCATGGAAAATGACTTTACATTCAAGCAAACAGTAGTTTTGTTGTCCCCTTTCTCTCTTTCATTGTCTTGTATAATTAAGAGTCTTCTTCAATGACAACGCCTTTGATTAATATATATCGGAAAAAAATCACCATCTAATCATTTACAATCGTTCATACATGCGTACATAAATCGATAAATCACAATATGTGAAGCAAATAGAAATTCAAGAAATGGCCTCTTTCATATTACTCATCACTATAAGTACAATAATGTCATCAAGTTGCTGTACAATCAATATGCCGATCAACTTGTGCTATCAGTTTACCATATTACTAATCTTGCTTTGCTACCCTAATCCTACAAATAATAATAATAATTAATAATATCACTCCTAATCTTAACATTATGACATTGTTATTGGGTTCCTGACAGATAACCAGCTGAAGCAGATGAGTAAGCAAGTGAGCAAGGAGAAGAGCCTTGCAGTTGAAGCAATTGAGCTGGTGTGACCGAAGAGGATGAATTTTTCAAGGCATTGCTCGCTGCCTTATGGGCTTCGCCTCCAACCGGGGGCTGATCGTGTCGAATCTCTCTTAGCAATGCTGCCACATCCTTCATTGTTGGGCGATCCTCTGCCCTGTTGCTGGTACAGAGGAGAGAGATTCCAAGAGCTTGGAGCATTTCTTGTATCTGAGTGTCCGGGTAGCCTTGAAGCTTAGGATCAAGAATCTCCACTGGGTCCTTCTTGCCCTTGAGGTGATCTCTAACCCACTGAATCACATGTTGGCCATCTGTGAACGATGGGTCTACAGGCTTTTTCCCAGTTATGATCTCCAAAAGCACCACCCCATAGCTATAGACATCGCTTTTTGCAGTAATTTTTAGCATGCAAGCATATTCTGTTCAAATTAACATTTAAATTTAAAGTCAGCGTTACAGTGCGGAAGAAATTAAACAATGCAAGATTGAGAGGATAACAAATGCAGAAAAGATTACTCTAAAAAGTAAGCATCCAGCCAAAGCACCAAGAATGTGATGTTTTTGGACATAAGCTAATGCAAAGCGAATGTGATGTCATGTCAAACAGTTGAAGTTTCTTTTCCAAAACCAGCAGAATTTGCGATCATCATTGTGATTTCACAGAACAAACACTAAAAGCAACAAGAAAACCTGCAATCACAGGGGTCTACAGTCTACTAAAGCTGTACTGCAAAACCCTACGTTGCTTTAGTCTGTGAAAATAGCAAGGACGGACCCATCTCAGAAATGATGGAACATCTGTCATATTCGCATGTCCCATCCATCAAATTCATCCAAACATGTATCTTCAAGAATTACAAGACTAATTATCAAAATTACAAGTCAATCTTAAGAATCACATAATTGGGCAATGAAAAGAAGTGAGAAGTTAAACCCATGATTAAAAGACAACGAAAACGATATTAAAAAGTTACTTTTTTAACTTACCAGGCGCAATGTAGCCGTACGACCCAGCAAATTGGGGATTGGCTGAAAAGGGACCGTTTTGATCGTCCTCCTCAACCAACCTAGCGAGCCCAAAGTCCGCCAAAACGGCCTCGTATCGATCCCCTAGCAAAATGTTCTGGACCTTCACGTCCCGGTGCAAGATAGCCGGCTGGCAATCGTGGTGCAAATACGCCAATCCCTCCGCCACGCCCAGCGCTATCCTGAACCGGCTGTCCCATTCCACTAATCCTGCGCACCCCTCGTGCAATAACGAACCCAAATTACCGTTAGCCAAATAGTCGTAGAACAGTAACTTCGTCCTCCGGTTCGCGCCCCAACCTAGTAACCGTACGATGTTACGGTGTCGTATTCTTGCCAGCGTGGCAATCTCCGAGGAAAACGCTGACGCTGAGTATTTCTCTGACGTACGGAACCTTTTTACAGCGAGAGAAAGACCCGAGGGGATGGTGACTTGATAAACGACGCCGGACCGGCCCCGCCCTATGACGTTGCAAGGGGTTAAGCTTCGCGCCACGTCAACAATCGAGAGTTCGAGCTTCTGGTACAGCGTCACCTCCCACGGCGGGCCCACGTCGACCTCGCTGTCGTCCTCCGGGTCGGGCTCGTGGGATCCGCCGAAAAGACCCGGTGGGCCCCTCCTCTTAGCTCCAAGGATGATGTAGAAGGCCGCTAAGAAGAGTGCGCACGCGGTGCACAGTAGCACCACCATGGCCACGCGCGCTGCTACATTGCGCCTGCGGGACCCACCGCCGGTATTGTTGCTGTTCTCCGCGCACTGGCTGTTGCCGGAGAAGCAGAGCGAGGGGTTGCCGGACAAGACGCTCAGGGGAAGCTTCGCGAAGAAGGGCGTGTCCGGGACGCGCCCCGAGAAGTTGTTGTGCGAGACGTTGAGGACCACGAGATTCTGCATGGCTGCGAGAAATTGGAGGTCGCCGGTGAGCTGGTTGTGAGAGACGTCTAGAATCCCGAGCTTGTCCAAGTCGGCGAACTCCTTCGGTATATAGCCGGAGAGTTGGTTCCAGCTCAGGTTCAGAGCGATTTCGAGCGCCGGAATCTTGCCCAAGCTTGCCGGAATATTCCCTGTGAGGTCGTTCCCGCTCAGGTCCAGTAACTGTAGCTTCGGGCACGAACCGAGTTCACTCGGAATCGCACCTGTAAACTGGTTCTTCCCCAAAACGAGTTTGGTGAGTGAACTCAGCGATCCGAGTCCCGCACTCAACGTCCCCTCGATCAAATTATCCGAGAAATCAACGAATTGGAGAGACACGAGCTGATCAAAACTTCCGGGCAAATTTCCCCCAATCGAATTGGAATGCAGGTCGAGAAATGTCAGATTCCGGCAGCCGGAGATATCCTCCGGTATAGTTCGGGTGAGCCGATTCGATCCAAGATCCAAGAAATTCAAGTTCCTCAAGTTCCCGATTTGCGGCGGGATCGCTCCCGTGAGCTTGTTGCCGCTAGCCCGAAATCGAATCAACGACGAGCAGTTTCCAATCTCTGGCGGTATTTCGCCAGAGAAGTTGTTCGATAGGAGCAGAAGCTTCGTGAGCTTTTGTAGATTGAAGAGCCCTCCGGGAACCGGACCATTCAAACCGTTCTGCGACAAATCAACGGCCTCTAGATTCAGACAGTTAGAAATCGACGACGGAACGGTTCCTTCGAGCTTGTTATGCCACAAGAAGAGCAGAGTGAGATTGGATAAGTTCCCGAACTCGACGGGGATCGAACCGGTGATCTGATTATTATCGAGCTCAATGTGAGTGAGTTTTCGGCAGTTTCCGAGTTGCGCCGGAATCTCGCCCGATATTTGATTAACGCTCAGCTGGAGTTCTTGAAGCGAAGTCAAGTTTCCGAAAGACTGCGGTATGCTTCCGGTCAATGAGTTCATGGAGATGTCGATGACTTGCAGCTGGCGGCAGTTGCCGAGCTCTGGAGGTATGACCCCAACCAAGTTGTTCTGCCACAGGAGAAGGTTTTGAAGGTTGTTTATGTTGCCCAATTGGCTCGGGACCGATCCGGTTATCGAGTTCTCATACAAATAGATATCCCGGAGCTCGGAGCAGTCTCCGAGTTCAGGGGGGATAGGCCCCGAGAGCAAGGCTGTGTAGATTGCGAGTGTTTCGAGTTTTTTTAAGAGGCCAAGGGTTGAAGGGAGGGAGCCTGATATGCTTGTTTCTGCTAATCCCAGCATGACCAAATTGTTGCAGTTTCCAATCTCGTGAGGCAGAGGGCCTTCTAAGTTCTTGTTCCCACCAGCTCTGATCACTTGAAGATTGTGCAGTTTGCCTATGGAGCTGGGGAGGCTCCCGCTGAGCTGATTGTCGAACAGGACCAGCCATTTCAAGCTTGTGAGGTTGCCGATTTCGATTGGGATTGAGCCCTCTAATCGGTTCGTGCCGAGATAGAGCTGTTCAAGCTTTGGCAGTGAGCAGATCTCAACTGGGATTTCTCCGCTCAATGCATTGTCGCTCAGGTCCAAGAGAGTAAGCTCTTGGAGAGTTGAAATTTGCTTTGGTATTGAACCAG